CTTCTCAAAATCCTCAATTCAACAGTCCTAGGCAATCCTTACTGATCAACCCGTGATGACATATAAAATAAAACTGATTTGTCAACACAAAATTAAACTCGTGGGCATCTGCACAGTTTTTGGTACTCTGTAAGAGCTTGTCTTCTCTACCTTCCACTAAGACTCACTCACTTGTCTTATCTCTCTTTCCTATAGATTTTATCTGTACAGCGCAATAACTGTCTTATCCATCCTCATACCCTTACTGGGCGGTGTACGAGGAAGTCATTCAAATGGCTGCTGAACAGGACTGCTCATTCTCTTCCTATTATCTCACCGCTCAAAACGACTAAATATTTGAAAGCTTTATTTTGAAATAAGTAGATTTTTCTGAAAGGTCTAATTATTCTAAATTTTATTTTAGGGAACACTTCTGCTTCAATTTAATATGCTATTGTCTGATATCACATGATATAACCAAGAGTCAAGGATGCATGAAAACCCCGTGGTAAGGATGACCTGAGGTAAGAGAATGGAAATCATTTCAAGGGTCTTATACCCAAGTGTGGAAGCTACTGAATGAAACCACCATGTTTGGAATTTTTTCTACCCATCACCTCACTCAATTGCAAAATGCTGTATTAGAAATCCTGAAACCATGGTAGGTGTGATGGTGCATGCTTGTCATCCCAGCACTCTGGGAGGGTGAGGCAGGAGGATCCCAAGTTGAAGTCAAACCTGGGCAACTTAATGAGATCCTGTCTTAAAGAAAAAAAAAATTTGCATCTTTAGGATTCTCAATTTTTTTTTTTTTTGTCTTTTTGAGACAGGGTCTCATTATACAGTTCAGGCTGGCCTTGAGCTCACTTTGTAGCCCAGTCTCAAACTCGAAATGCTCCTCCTGCCTCAGCCTCCTGCGTGCTGGGATTATAGGAGTGCGCCACCATGCCTGGCAGAAAATTTGAACCCTTATAATTTCTACTTTAATGGCAATCAAGTTCAAAAAAATGTAAAGTTCAACTTGTCCATACTATTTACTCCTTTATAAAAGGCAGATTTCAGCTAAGCTTCTAGATGCATGAATATTTTAGAGGTTAATGTTTTCTGGCAGTTCTTGGTTCTTGAAATTTGAACTTCATCAGGTATGTTTTAAACTTTTGTCAGAGTCACAAAGGATATGTTATTAAAATGTAAAAAATATTAAAGGGCCAGTGATGTAACTCAGTGCAAAGGCCTTGGGTTAATCCCTAGTACATACACACACACACACACACACACACACACACACACAAGATTAAAACTAAAGGCTTCTAAACAACAAAAATATACATTGCTTCAGAAAGAAAACGAATTAACAAAAAATAACATAGTGCAATGAAAAGGAACACAAAAACTAAAAGTCAAGCAAAATGTCAACGAAGTTAGGCAAGTAATCCAGAAAAAAAAAATCACAGAATTTTTTTTTTTCACCTGAATCAGAAAGCTAGTTCAAGAGCTAGAGAAGCTAGAGGTACAGTAAGACTTGTGCTGCCATCTAGAGGTTAGAGACTACATGACATTTCTCCTCACTGAGTTAAGGGCTGTTAATTTAGCTATAACTATTACAGTTAGGTAGACTCAAATAGGCCTTCTTGTTTGTTTGTTTGTTTGTTTTGGTACTGAGAATCGAACTCAGGACCTTGCACTTGCCACGCAGGCACTTGTGCCGCTGAGCTATATCCCCACCCCGTTTGTTTGTTTTTGAGACAGGGTCTCTCCATGTAGTTCTGTCTGGCCTTGAACTCACTTGTGCCCCAGGCTAGCCTTGATCTCATGCGATCCTCCTGCCTCAGCTTCCCAAGTACTGGGATTACAATGCAGGCATGTGCCACCACACCTCTAAATAGGCCTTCTAATGAAAGTCAGGCAAATAACCTCAATGTGAGGCCACACAGATTACCCAGGGTATCCCAATACAAGCTATTCTCTTCCCTCTTCCTTCACAGATTAACATTAGAATGCAACAGAGCTGCCTTGTAGAATTTTACTTAGATGGAGAACAATTTTCAAATACAAATGTACACTTTTATAGAATCATTGTCTAATGGGTAGAGAAATGTACTACACTCCAGGCTAGCTTAGAAGTACAAGTTTCCCTCCTGTACCACCACCAAAGAAAGTTATACCAAATAATTTCTGGGGCCAGTACAGATAAATGTGATAAAGTTTAAATGAGATGTCTCAATCATGTTTACACTAAAACTTTTTAAAACTACAGTGTGATTACATTTAGCCAAGTAACAGCCCCACTGAAATTCCTTACTGAACATACAGGATTAGACTACAAATTAGCAGAAGTAATTACCAAGTAGTGGTAGTAAGCTAACTTCCTTAACACTTTTTAAAAGGGCAATATACTTAATGTGATCCTATTTACCTTAAAAGGCACCAAGCAAGATGTGGTGGCACATGTTATACTTCCAGCACTCTGGGAGTGGACAAACGAGCACAAACGAGTGTGAGCCAAACATGGGCACTGGAGCAATTTAGTGAGACTTCGCCTCAGAATAAAAACAAAAAGGCTGGGGATGCAACTCAGTGTGAAGGGTTTACTCCCTAGCACCACAAAAAACACACACAGCAAAAGGTACCTAAAAAACAACCCATAGCTAAAACCAATGGTTTAGCTGGGAGTGGTGGTATACACCTGTAATCCCAGCACTCAAGAGGCTGAGGCAGGAAGATCGCTGGGAATTCAAGGCCAGTCTGAGCTACAAAGCAAGTTCAAGGCCAGCCTGAACTGCATAGCGAGACCCCGTCTCAAAAAGACAAAAAAAGAAAGGTTCAAGAACAAAGAGCAAAAGAAAAGGAAGTGAAACTAGAAAAATTAACCTGGAAGTAGTAATTAAGATGGATTGGATTAAGAAGCCTAGAGACCAGTTAGAAGCTGACTGCAGTAGTCCCAGTACAACAAAAAAAGGCACTGAACTAAGCTGAAAGTAACAGAAATGGAATTCTTTAAATGCTAAAACTGAGTTTTACAACTTCTTGTAATTCTATATATTTCAAGGGAATTTTACATAAGTGCCCAAATCAAACCAAGAGGCCCCAATCACCTGAAAGGCTATTAAATGACTACAACAAAAGTTATTGCATTCCAAACTCTGCACACCAAAAGGGTTATATGAAGTATAATCAGGAACCAAATCAAAGGGTTCATCTTCCAAAACACATAATGTAGTTATATTATCAGCTCTAGAAGGTTCACATTATTTCTGCACTAACATTTAACAATGCTCTTGGGGAATGACAAACAATCACGTTTTGAGGACAAATATTTTTAGCATTTTTTTTCTTTCCATCATCTTTATCAGTGCAGAAATTTGCATGAAAACAGGATCACTGGTCCTTGGGGATTCATCAGTTCTTACTGCTTATTTTTCATCCATGTCATCCTCTCAATTAATGCAGGAAAGAGGATTGAGACATCGAAACACCAGATTAGGATGTCAAGCAAAAGCCAACCCCTAGAGTGGATGAGTAATCTGCAAGGACAGAAAAAGATCTTGTTTTTATGCAAATACACTACACACAATAAAACAGACTGTATTCAAGAAGTCCAATGCACATCAGTGTAATTATTTCCAACTGTAACTTTAAAAACTCTTTACGTCAGCGAAATTCACTGTGATCAAAGAAAATGGCAATTGGTTGAAATACTGCCACACAGCTTGAAATAAGGCTGAATTTTGAACCTGAAGATAATTCTGAAGAACCTCAGCTGTGCTAATGGGAGAAATCTGTAGAAACAAGTATCTGTTGTGTAGTCTGGGTTCAATGATTAAAATGGCTGAATTAGGTGACTTCCAGTCCGCTCCCCGAATGCCTTAAGGTCATAGAAATATAAACCAGTAAGGATGGCTTTAATTGTGCATATTAAAACAAAGCAAACCAGAGCCAGGGATATAGCTCAGTGGCATAAGCGCCTGCCAGCAAGCGCAAGATCCTAAGTTCAATTCCCAGTACCACAAAAAAAAAAAAAAAAAAAAGGCAAAACAGAGAAAGACCATATACAATTTACCAAACTATTTTTTGGGATCGTTCCAAATAGAATTTTTGAATTTTTGAAGACAATTACATGTCATAATAGTACTCTTGGCGGGGCGTGGTGGTCCACACCTGTAATCTCAGCACTTGGGAGGCTGAGGTAGAAGGAGTCCTGTAAGTTTGAGAACAGCCTGGGATACAAAGTGAGTTCAAGGCCAGCCTGAACTGTACAGCAAGACCCTGCCTCAAAAAGAAAAAAAAAAAAAAATACTCTCAAGATTATGGATTAATGATGGTCTCAGGTTCTAACCACTGTACTCATGTTGGGTATCTCTTCTTTCAACTACAAAGTAAGACTTTCTTAGAACTCCTTTTTCAGTTTTGTAACGAATGCAGTAGGAGAAGGGCCACAATTGAGAAGAAATTTTAAAATAAAAAAAGAGAGCAGACAGGCATGGGTGAGAAATTTAAAATGTGTTACTCATGGTAACAGAAACGTTCTTGATCTGTCGTAAGTCTCTTCCTTAGAGAACCACTCCTTCCCTCCCATTCCACGTGATCTGAGGCACATCAACCCCCCTCTACTCTGCATCTGTCCCTAGGCCCCAGCCTGTGCATCAGAGCGTTCTATCTGGCAAAGGACTCATTCAAGGGTGGTACATGAGCCCACAGAGAACAGTCAGTCTTTTAATTTATGTGAACTAATAAAGTCTCTTCTTTGGCTTAAGATAGTTTGAGTTGATCTATCACTTAAAACCGAAAGGGTTCCAATAGACTTTTACTGCACAGGGAAAAATAATTTGTTACCTAGTAAATCCAGTAATTACTGCAGTACAGTCTCTCATAAAAGGCACACCTTAGATTACATTGAACCCTTAACTTCAGATTACTTATCTTTTCCTAAAAAGGAAAATTATACTTTCCAGAATTATAACTAGAACTCAGAATGGAATGCACAACACGTAACCCTGAAAACATGTGACCTGGGTACTCACACTCATCCAGCCCCAGCTGATAGGCCAGGTTCTGTAGGCCTCGTACCTTCTCCATCAAATTAGCTGTGGTGAGGCTTCCCAGTTCTGAAACAGAACCATTGATTTCAATACCATTTCTTCCCACTACCCTTGAGTAACAATTCATTTACACTGGGAATCCTGACTATAAAAATTTTCAGTCTGGCTGGAGGGTATGGCTGAGTGTTGAGCTTAGCATGGTTTAATCTCCAACATGGAAGGAAGGGGAGAGGGGAGGGGAGGGGCGGGGAGGAAAGGGAGGGAGGGAGGAAGGGCGGGAGAGAGGGAAGAAGGGAAGAAGGAAAGGAGGGATGGAGGGAGGGAGGGAGGAAGGGAAGAAGGAAAGGAGGGAGGGAGGGAGTGAGGAAGCAAGGGAAGAAGGAAAGGAGGGAAGGAGGGAGGGAGGGAAGAAGGGAAGAAAGAAAGGAGGGAGGGAGGGAAGGTGTTTTCAAGTATAATTCCTATTGAATAAACAGAAAATGGATCCATATCTCTTTTCCTCCAATCTTACACACATGCACACACATCAGTGAAATTTTCCACTACTGTAAAAATGCCTTCAATGAGCTTTCTCACCTAATAAATTGGGTTAGCATAAACACAGTAACAAGGTATTTTAAACTAAGGGTCCTTTGTCTATCATACAAAATGAATACAACAGCAATATATGAAAAGTCATGACTGACAGAGCACAGAAGAAGCCTTCCAGGACATCTTCCAGACGAACACAGTCTCTAATCCCCGTGATTTCAACGAACAGTACAACAGTAACCGAACACTTTCCATTGTCCTATGTTTGGAAAACATTAAATATAAATCCAAAATTCCCTTCAAATCAAATTCCTATTTAAAATATTTTAGGGAGTAGGTGTATAGCACAGTGGTAAAGTGCTTGCCTAGCAGGCACATGGTCCTCAGCTCAACCCCTAGTACCCTAAAAACTTAGGTTCTCCAAGTAAAAATACCATATACTTAAAATAATAGCATCCCATTCCTTTTATGTTTAAGACATAGGTCGATTTGCATGAAATAGAATGGCGTGATCTCGCACTAAAAATGTAAAGTTTCCCTAGAAAACACACATCAATGGGTTATTCTATAAATGTCTGTTTGGAACATTACAACAATGAACTGAAGATGCCCTTGAGACTTCATTTTTCCATAGCTGAAGGAGGGGATCTGCATTCAAGCATGCAGAACAATGAATTACTTCTGAAATCAAATAAAGGAGTTTTTTCCCCTCCCATTTATCATGCTGCAGTCATTATCTATACCTGGCATAAGCAGACTTCCCTGATCTGTTCAACTGCTTAAACAGCTCAAGAATCTCAGATTTTTACCTTAATTTCAGTCTACTACTTCATAACCATCATGAATCTTATCACCAGAAGGATGATAAAAAAAAAAAGAAAATTCACAGAAAATTAATGTTTTTAATTTAAATTTCTGCTCTGTGATTGAGTTCAAAATCATTTATCAAATAACAATATTCACAGAATCCTTTCTGGAAGAAATTGATAGGTTAGAAAGAAATGGAAGACAGGTCCCACTAAGAGGCTGCCACTTAACAATACTGACAACAATAAATAGCATTACTTTCTAAACAAGGCACTTTTACTACACTAGAGAGAGATTTTAAAAACTGGGTTTATGCTAGGCGTGGTGGCGCACACTTGTGAAGCCAGCCTGGGTACACAGTGAGTTCAAGGCCAGCCCGAGCTGTACAGCAAGACCCTGTCTCATAAAAAGGGGCATTTAAATTTTTTGTTTGTTTGTTTTGTTTTCTGGCACCAGGAATTGAACTCACGACCTTGCACTTGCCAGGCAGGCGATGTGCCGCTGAGCTAAATCCCCAGCCCCTAAAATTTTAACTCTTTCTAATCAATCTTGGTTAAATTCTACACCTATGATATCATCATATCTATTTAACAGAATGTTTATCAAAATTAACTGAGAAAATTTACTTGAGGTTTTCTGTTAACTGTATCACACAAAATAAACTTTGTATTAAAAAGAACTAACATCAGAAGGATTCATTATGACTGAATCTTGACAGGAGGCTATAGCAGCAGGATCACTGCGTGTTTGAGACCAGCCTAGGCTACAAAGTGAGCTCAAGATCAGCTTAGGCTACGAAGTGAGCTCTGCAGAGGGAGACCCTGTCTCAAAAAAGACAAATCAATCAATCAATCTTGAAGGGGCAAGATTTCTACATATGAAAAAAGTAGAGAGAGGCATTTCACACATGAAGAACTATGAATAAAGGTAGTTAAGTGGGCAGTTTGAAGCCAAGAGAATAGTGACCCCTCCTCCGCAAAAAAAAAATTGGAAAGGTAGTTTGAGGGGAACATAAATATCAAGTTAAAAGTGAGAGAACAGGCCGGGCATGGTGGCACACACCTGTAATCCCAGCACTCGGGAGGCTGAGGCAGGAGGATCGTTGTGAGTTCGAGACCATCCTGGGCTACAAAGTGAGCTCAAGGACAGCCTGAACTGCATGGCGAGACCCTGGCTCAAAAAGACCAAAAAAAAAAACGTCAGAGAATAAGACAGACACTGTGGTACGCCTGTAGTCCCAGCTCCTGGGTGTGAGGGTCACTTGAGCTCAGGTGTTTAAGATCAGCCGAGGCAACATAGCAAGACTATCTCAAAGTAAAAAATCAAAATTAGAAGACACCACCATTACTTACCTTTTAACATATCAATGTCATCACGTTCTATTTCGGCCATCCACTTAGGTGGAGAACTAGTGATAGGCTGTCAGAAAACAAGAATATATCTATTAGATACATACAACTGTGAAGAGACCTTATTCTTCCTTCTTAAAAGAAATGTAGCTTCCGTACAAAAGCTCTGGCTTGTATCTCCAGTACTGCCAAAAAGAAAAGGAAAGAAATGGAGCTTGTCACATAGCCTTCAGGTTGTCCAAAAATACAGGCACATTATATCTATGAATATAAACCCAGATTTCTCCAGGTGCAGATATGACCTACAGCTACCTAAAGAGATGCTACTACTATGACTATTTCATGCATAACAAGATAGAAACCAAACTACTTGAAACACTATTCTGGGCAAAAACCTTGTACTGAACTGTTTGACATGATAATCAGTAACATTCTCTGAAAGAAAGAGGCATCAAGAATGAGAAAACCAAGGGAAATAAAAAGAATCAAGTAGTGACAGGTGCATGTACCACTTACCTGTGATGAATATATTTGTTATGTATTGCAAACATATACTAATAAAAAAGAAAAAAAAAAAGGATCTTTTTTTTTTGAGACAGGGTTTCACTGTGCAGTTCAGGCTGGCCTTGAACTCACTTTGTAGCCCAGGCTGGCCATGAACTCGCAAAGATCCTCCTGCCTCAGCCTCCAGGTGAAAAAAGAAAAAAGTAAATACTGAAAAAAGTAAATACTGAAAAAAGTAAATACTGAAAGAAAAAAGTAAATACTGAAAAATAAATTTCAACTCCTCTCAAGGAAAGAAAGGAAGGGAGGAGGCTGGGCGTGGTGGTCACACCTGTAATCCCAGCACTTGGGAGGCTGAGGCAGGAGGACTGTTGTGAGTTCGAGACCAGCTTTGGCTACAAAGTGAGCTCAAGGCTAGCCTGAACCGCAGAGCGAGACCCTGTCTCAAAAAAGGCAAAAAAATAAAAAATAAAAGGAAGGAAGGAAGGAAGGAAGGAAGGAAGGAAGGAAGGAAGGAAGAAAGGAAGGAAGGAAGGAAGAAAAAGAAAAGAAAAAAGAAAACCAGCCCACCCACCCTCAACTTAATGACATAAGACTGAAATGGTCATATGATCAATCACTTGAACTTTTCATAATTTTACGGTGTAAGTTTTAGAAAACTTTAGAACTTTAAGTTATCTTCTCATTTCTGAAAATAAATTTTAGATATGAAAGAAAGCCCATTGAATAGCTCCAAGTTAGCAGTTTTCAATCCTAGTTGCACATGGAATCACTCTTGTAGCTTAAAAAAATATATATAAGCACCCTGGCTACAACCCCGATATACTGATGCAGAATATCAGAGCCTGGGGGAAAGGTCCCTTGGAGAGAACAGAACAAGGGAGTCCATAAATACATTTTTCAAAGCTTCCCAGCTACACACTGATGGTTCTGTTATGCAGGTAGGGGCAGGGGTAGGAAAAACGACTTCAGTTTTGAATCTTTCTCCTTTCAACATATTCACAACGGGGCCATTATCTGTATGTCTCACTGCTGGGAGGCTCTGAACCACTGGTGGTACAAGCCAGCAGGAACTTGTTCATTAAAATATACTCAGCTGGCCGGGCATGGTGGTGCACGCCTGTAATTCCAGCACTCAAACCCTAGGGGGCAGGAGGAATTGCTGCAAGTTCGAGACCAGCCTAGGCTACAAAGTGAGCTCAAAGCCAGCCTGAACTGCAGAGCAAGACTCTGTCTCAAAAAGACAAAAAAAAAAGTACCAGTACTAACCATGTAATAAGCAAAACACTTTTTTTTTTGGTTCTGGGAATCAAATTCACAACCTTGCACTTGCCAGGCAGGCACTGTGCCACTGAGCTATACCCTGGACAAAACACTTTATATCATATCATTTACCTCCAAAACAACCCTAGGAAGTAGGTATTACTATCCCCATCTTAAAAATGAAAAAAAAAAAAAAAAAAATTAACGGAAAGCAAAATTCACTTGGCTTAAGTTACACGTATTAAGATTTAAAACCCAGGTACTCCAAGTCCAGAAATCACTTCAAGTCCAGGGCATGATGGCACATGCCTGTAATGATACAGCACTCAGGAGGCTGAAGCAGGAGGATTTCTGGGAGCTCAAGGACAGCTTGGTCTACATAGTGAGTTCAAAGCTAGTCTGAACTACTAGCTTTGAAACCACCAGTGGTAAAACTGTCTCAAAAATAACGAAAGTAACATAGAAATCACCACAAATCCTCTATGCTGCCTCTTTTAGAAGGCTCTAGCTCAAAGTATTTTTAACCCCAAGAGGAAAAATACTGTATCAAGTGATGTTAAGTTGGGGTCCTAGGCTGATGTCTCTGAAACCATAGGAGAAAAACTCAAAACATGTACTTGCATATTTCTGGGGAAAAGGCACAGATATTTAATCATTTAAAAAAAAAACTATGAAAGTTTTTTTTTTTAAAAAAAAACCAAAATTATATAAAAAAAACCCAAAATTATATTTACAGTTTAAAATAGTTGTAATCAAATCTAACTCATGAAACTGAAAACTAGTAAGACTGGAAGAAAATTAAATCATATGTCTGATAAACTTCCTAGATAAAAGCTAATCTAATAGTAATGGCTCTCCTAGCTGGGAGGCTGAGGTGAGAGGATTCCATGATTGAACCCACCCCAGGAAATTTAGTAACTTAGTGAGACCCAGGCTCAAAATAAAAAAGAGAAGGTCTGGGAATATAGTTCAGTGTGAAGGCCCTGGGTTCAATCCTTAGTACTATGCACACGGACACACACACACACACTACAGAGGCATTAGAGGTCAAAGCCTGTTTCTGCCACTTAAGAATCTATAACTTGTGTAACTTACTCAATTGTAACCAGTCTATGCTTAAATTTCCTAGTCTGGAGATATTTGTAATACCTTTACCTCATCGGGTTTTGTGAAGATTAAATAACATGTAAGTACTTAGGAGAACAGTCTCTGGCACATGGTCAGCACTATACCTAAATTATCATCATATTTTCCTGGTTGTGGGAACATATGAGAACATATTTAGGCCAGGTGCAATGGGGCACACCTGTAACCCCAGCACTTAGAAAGCTGAGGCAAGAGGATCACTACAAGTTCAAGGCCAGCCTGCATGAACTACATAGTGAGTTCAAGGCCAGCCTGGACTACATAGTGAGACCCTGTCACAAAACAAAACAAAGGCGGGGTGTGGTGGCGCATGCCTGTAATCCCAGCACTCAGGAGGCCGAGGCAGGAGGAGCGCTGCGAGTTTGAGACCAGCCTGGGCTACAAAGTGAGCTCAAGGCCAGCCTGAACTGCGTAGTGAGACCCTGTCTCAAAAAAAGACAAAACAAAGGAGGAAAAAAGAGTGAACGTATTTAGAGCACCAAGCACGATGCCTGCTCCCCCAGAGTGGAAAAGTTTGTGGTTCTTAAGGACATCCTCCTTCAAGTTTCTGATATAGCCCTGAGAAATTCCAACATTCTCTACAGAGGTCTAAGCCAAGGCCACAATAAATCACATAAACAAAAGAGAAAAGCTTCTAAATTACAGTCTGGGCAAAAAGAATAATAGTGGTACATTAAATATTTCAACTGCCCTGCCTTACACCCTCAAGCTGAGGAAAGAGGCTGGATGAGCAGACAAAGGCCAACATTTCAAAGTACAACATTTGAACAAAGGAAAGTGTCAACAATGAACATGATGCTAGGGATGGACTTACAGGGCTACGACTACAGAATGACTTGAAGGCCTGACAGCAGTCTTGAAAGTAAAGAAAGGACAGATCTGAGCTTATATCCAGGGATAAAACTCTAGGTGATTCTCATTAGGTGATTAGTCATGACTTACACTTTTGAAGGAAGCTGCAAATTCAGCAACACCCGGTACTAAAAAGAAAGAAAAAATTATTCATTCAATAAACATTTGCCTTACCAGACATGGAGGATTCAAATGATTAAAAAAAAAAAAGCCCTAAAAAAAACACCCATGTAAAAAAAACAACAACAACAAAAAAAACAGCATTGCCTTCAGGTAGTACAATCTGGAAGAGGACAGAGACTCTAATACCAGTGACCACAATATTGAGTGCCCCAGGAAAGACAGCAGAATGTTGCAGGAGGACAAAAATGGAAATCTAAATCGACTGAGCAGGTAGCAAAAGCTTCTCAGAGAAAGTAACACCTCACTAAACTTTAAAAGACCAGGAATTAGCTACCCAGAAGGGTGGCAAGAGACAGTACTCCTTACCAGCAAGTTTAACCTCTCTTTTTAGTTACGATGCCCTCTGTCAAACCAGTTGTTTAACTGCCTCCCAGAAGAACCACATTAAAAAGCAGAAAAGTATAAATGTGGTATTTAAAAGTGAAATAACTCTCGCCGGGCATGGTGACACACACCTGTAATCTCAGTACTCGGGAGGCTGAGGTAGGAGGACTGTTGCGAGCTCGAGAGCAACCTGGGCTACAAAAGGGAGCTCAAAGCCAGTCTGAACCGCATAGTGAGACCCTGTCTCAAAAAGACAGGAAAAAAAAAAAAAGTGAAATAACATTCATAAATAATAAAAATAATAAAGATCAGAAATATCCACTATCGGGTAGTATGTAAGAAAATGGACACTCACACACAATCATCCTCTTCCGTGTTCACAAAGGTCTATGTGCCAGGACATTCACTGACAGTTTGTAAAATAAAACCATGGATATAACTTAGGTTTCCAGAGAGGCCATGAATATACAAATTATAATAGAGCTATACAATGAAATATATCTGAAAGGACGAAACAGACCTATACACACCAACATAGAACAATTCATTAACAAATGAGGTGGTATAATAAGCTTACGATTGTACATGTGACTATATTATAAAAAAAGCCCTCTATACATAAAAATGCTTGCTTATCTGTATAAGTATAAAAGTCAAACCAATTTATATGAAATAACAGAATTTTGTAACAGTGATTAAAGGAGATAAGGAAATGTTTTATGTATCTTCATAGTATTATCTGAACTTATTACAGATTACTTTTTAAAAGTAATTATTGTCGGACATGGTGGTGCACACATGTAATCCCAGCACTCAGGCAGACAGGCAGGAGCACTGCTACAAGTTCCAGGCCCACCTATGCTACATCGTTGAGTTCAAGACCAAGTTCAAAGAACTACATAGAGACCCTGTCTCAAAAAAATAATTATTATTAAAAGGCTCATCATTTCCTGTCAGTGTTCTAAAAAAAAAGAACTACAAAAAGCTATTAACACTGGGTATCAACCTCTTTTCTTCCCTTTAAAGTACAATAAAAACCTGAATTACTACTGTTATATTACTAGAACTCTTCAAAAATTTTTCAAGGGAGCATCTGTTCTCTTACATAAAGTCTGATAGGAAGAAAGCAAAGACTTACATTGTTCTGGCCAAAGATCTGGTGAGGCACGGTCTAGTTTTTCAAAACTTAGCAAAGATGCTTCCAAATCCGTCCCTGAAATAAAGCAACCAGCTTAGACAAGAAGACATTCAAACATCAAAAAACATAAACTAAAGCACTCAAATGGAAGTCTAGAGATTTCAGTTCTATAACTCAATTGATGCTAGAATGTAATACAAATAAACCATTCTCTCTCACTATATCTCACTCTTCCAATCTATAAAATGGGAGTGATATTTTAGAGGACTGTTAAAAAGGAGTATTGATAAACCTATCTGTGCCTTCATTCGCACCCTTGGACTTTCCTCTATTTATAATCAATTAAGTGTCCAGCTCCCATGAAAGGTAAACTCCCCAGCCAGGGCTCTGAATGCACGTTTTCTTGCTCTGTCAGGGCATCATCTTGAATAATCTTCCTCTTATACCATCATTATTTTCTCTAGGCTCACATTCAACACTAAGCAATCATGCCCAGAATCTCCCTTTAAAAAGAACTCTCCCTCTGCCCCATGATCTGTGGCACACCTCCCCAGCAATAGTTTTGCTTTTGTTTTTTTGTATTTTGTGGTATTGGGCTCTGAACCCAGGGCCTCTTACATGCTAAGTATGGGCTCTACCACAGACCTACCTCCCAGCCTTTTTTATTTTGAGATAAGCTCTTGCTAAATTGCCCAGGCTGGTGTCCAACTTGCAATCCTCCTGCCTCCCTCTCAAAGTGGCTGAAATACAGGCATGAGCCCTGCACTTGGCACAAAAGTTTCTGAGTTTTGTGCCCTGTTGTTCCCACTCATCTCACACTCTCTCCCTAAGCTATGCCAGTGAGCCTTCTGTCCCTACACATACGGCAACGACTGCTGACAACTAAACTCACCGGTCACTTCTCCTTTCTCTTTCCTGTGACCTCTCTGCAGCATCCACAATCTGACCCTACGCACTGATGCTACGAAAGCGCTACGGCGGTTTTTGTCCTAGTCACGGAGCGCTCCTTCAGCCTCCTCCTCCTCCCCTCAGCCCATCCTAGGCCCTCTCCGCACTTCTGCCTCACCTACTCGCGCACTTTTGCCATCATCTATACACCAATGACTACTTCTAGTCCCTGCCTTTCTCCTGAGCTTGTTGTCTAGGTAACTACCTGACAGCTTTCTCCACCTACCCATATGAAAAATCGTACTTTCCCAATCCTCTCTCAAGAAATTGTAATGCCATTAACTCCAAATGTCAAGCCCCAAACCCAGGTATCATCCTTCACACCTCCTTTGCTTACACCCTTCCATGACCAATCTATCAACAAATCCAGTAGTTTCTATCTGCAAAATACACCAAGAAACCAAACCGGTGCACCACTTCTCAACTTGAAGCCTTTAACAGACTCCCCGCGCCTGTTCTTAGTCTTCCTCTCCTGACCCTAAATCGATTTTTCACAAAGTAAGCTGAAGTGATTTTTTAAAAAATGTAGGGGCTGGGGATTTAGCTCAGCGGCAAAAAGCGCCTGCCTGGCAAGCGCAAGGTCGTGAGTTCGGTACCCGGTACTGGAGAAAAACCAAAAAAAAAAAAAAAAAATAAATAAAAAAATAAAATAAAAATAAAAAATGTAAATCTGTTCATTTCACTCTCTAGTAGAAAGGACTTCTCAGCAAAATGAGTGAGTGCCTGTCTGCCACGCCCTGTAACACCCTCCTTGACCCAGCCCCAACTCTGTTACATCGCTTTCTTTTCACTCTTTCTGTGGCACGTGACAGGTACTCAATACTTGCTGAGGATTTACTGTGTAATTCGCTTGCTAACTACCTACATAGTTCATTTAATGCTCTTAACACTTTCTGGGTAAGCAACATCTTTGGAAATCTGTAAAGATGTAAATTCACACACTCCCCCTCAAAATGTACATAGGTAAGACTTTTCAACATGAGCTTTTAAGTTGAATTTCTTTAAGCAAGTATCCCAAGGGAATTTCCAATGACCTTACAACTGGGAAGGAATTGAAGTCTAACACATTGGCTTATCTAAATCACCTGAAGCTGCTAAAAAAGAAGAGCTATGTGTTAACAACGTGTCAGTTTTCAAGTTTGCTACTAAGGAGGAGCTCCACCATAATAAAAAGAAATTTACTGTGTGGCAGAATCCAACAGCCAGGGGCAACCCCAGGATGCCACCGTTTAGGGCAAAATTCTGACTTTGCCATGAGTCTTAACCACAAATTAAGTAACTGGAAGTTTTACTTACATCTCAATTTTCTCTTTTCAGCATGAAAAAGACAAAAGCGTAAATGACCTAATCTTATTTTCAAACGAACATCTGAATTAAATCTTTTTTTTTTTTTTTTGTGGTACCAGGAATCAACTCATGACCTCGCGCTTGACAGGCAAGCGCTGTGCCGCTGAGCTATATCCCCTGGCTGAATTAAATCTTAAAAGACAGAAATAGTTGGAACACTAAAAATAGAAGTGAGATCACCACAGTAAACTATTTTATAAGATACTTATTTACAATTTCAATTTAAGTCCACAGTGTTCAACTTCATTTTATTAGATTATAAAGGTAAGATTAGCTGGAGAATGGTATAATCCTGAAAGAGATGAGAAAGAAACTTGAAAAAATCAAGGCTGCAAACAAGGTGACCATAGAGGTAGTGAGACAACCAAGGGGAAAAAACATTTCCAATACTCTTCTTGGCCAAAGAAAGAAAAACGGATTGAGGGGAAATGAGAGAAAAAAACCTCAAATACAAGCTAGGAGAGATGGTGCATATCTGTAATCCTGGCACTCTGGGAGGCTGAGGCAGGAGAATGGCAAGTCTGAGCCCAGACAACTTAGCGAGACACTCTCAAAATTATAAAAAAAAGTTTTAAAAGGGCTGGCAATGTAGCTCAGTGTAAAGTATTAAAAAAAAAAATCAAACACAAGAAACATAGCTCCAAAATTTCCAAAACTCATAAAAACAACTTAGTAAGTTACATCTTTAAGTAATTAGCTTTGTCACATGGCTTTGTGTATATGTGAAAGTCATATAACATAAAATTTACCATTTTAATAATGTTTAAATGTATAGTTCAGTGACGTTAAATGCATTAATATGTACAACCAATATCATCATTCATTTCCAGAATTTTCCTACCTTCTCAAACTGAAACATAAACTTTCCATTCCCTTAGCTGACTTTTTAAATGCCATTTCTAGCTTGGCGTGGTGGCGCATGCCTGTAATCCCAGCACTTGGGAGGCTGAGGCAGGAGGACAGTTGCAAGTTCGAGACCAGCCTGGGCTACAAAGTGAGCTCAAGGCCAGCCTGAACTGCATAGCGAGACCCAGTCTCAAAAAGACAAAAAGAAAAAAAATTAAATCCCATTTCCTTTTAGCAGAAGAAACTTTGTGTGTGTGTTTGTACACATGCAATTTTATTGTAACAAAGCAACTTTTACACCTTGAACATTTAAAACTGCGCAACACCTTTTCCTTTCCAGTGAAAACAAAAAAGAATTTTAAAAATTACAATAGAGAATGTCAATTCCAAATAAGACCCTATAGGTTCTGGTGATTGTCTCACTGAGTAGCAAGGCTCAAGTCATCATTAAGAGAGAATTTTATTTTAAAAGTGTCATCTTAAACTGCAAGGATCAGCTAGGAATGGTGGCATACACCTGCAATCCTAGCACCTGGGAGACTGAGGTAGGAGGTCTGCCATGAGTTTATGGTCACCCTGGTCTACACAGTGAGCTCAAAGCTAGCCTGAGCTACACGAGACCCTGTCTCAAAACAAAACAAAACTGCAAGGATGTCTACTAACATCACGAACACGTCAGAGGAGAGGCCATGCTGTCAAATGCCCACTTAACCCAAACATCTCAAACCCAGACATCGCTGACCTTCTGTATCATTTGTAAAAGTTTTTTTCTTTTTTTAAACAAGAGAAAGAAGACAGGTACATGTTGATAAATGCTAACTGTTCACATTCTTGTAGTGTAATCTCTGAGCCCAATACACAGAGAAAGGAGGAAAAAAGCTAGAACTCCATGCACCCTCTTAGGTAGGAGGTCTAGCACCCTCCAGCATCCAGCACAGTGAAGGGAGCGGAGGGCCTTTTTTCTCACAGAGCACAGTGGTGCTGATTCCATACAGCTTGTGTGAAGACAGGAGGGGATTGAAATGAATTTAGAACAAAAGGTTGTAGAGATCCTTTCCCACTGTACTCTGCTCAAGGTATCTCCCCACAAAGTAAGTCAAGAGCCACTATGTTTGTGAGCAGAGGCCTCAAGAACAGGGCAACTGAGCACAAGAGGTGGGAAAAAAAGACTGCAACTTGCTCCCAGTGACTGGTGACAATTTTTTTTTTTAAGGGAAAAAAGTTCAGAATCCATCAGTGTTCAATTAGTCATCTTCTCCTTCACGCTCCTCTACTTACACCCCTTTATCATCTTCATCTTCTTCACCTTTATCGTCTTCATCGATGTCTTCCAATCCTTCATCATCACCATCATCTCCTTCCCCTTCCGCCTCATCCATATCAGGAACCAGGCAGTACTGCAATGGATTTGGCCAATTATCGTCTTCGATGACCTCTCCTAACTCATCTGCACTCGAATCAGAATGGTCAGTAAACCAGGTAAAGAAGCTCTCTACTGCCTCTTCCTACTGGCTTTACTCGGAGTTTGACTTGAACGTTTCATCAAGTCCTTTCCAGATTTCCATCTGATTTCAGTGGACTTTGAAGATGGATCACCACTCTTGTTCAGATGAAATTCTTTGGAGAGAACTTTATTTGCAAAGTAAAGATCTTCATCAAAATAAACATCTATTCCAAAAAAAAAATCTATTCTGTAACCTGATTTTATATCTTCAAATTCTGTCACCTTCACTCTGGTCAAATAGTGCAATGCTTCTTCATTTTTTTCCGCAAGCAACAATGCATACACTTCTGGATGGTTAACGTTACCCCAAAATTCGGGATTTTGGCAATCAATTCTGACTTCTAAAAAAATGGTTGTCGGACTTTGTTATACTTTTGTTTTACTTTCAATACCTCCTCAGGGGCTTGTTCATTAAGTCTATTTCATTTTGTACTTCATCAATATGTTCACAACTGCTTCTTGTTGTTCTTTTTCTCCCTTGGGCAGGCCCGGCGAGGGCAATGCTGCCTTGGATTGGGGGCCAGAAACTGTCGGGCTTCTTAGACGGGTGAGCGAAGACTGGCGGTTTAGGGCCATGAAACAAGGGAAGTTCTAACACCAGGCCCGGGGTCATCTCGGGCTATAAGCAGCAGATCAGGAACCCAGAGGAACTCTTAACAAGAGAGCACACAGGGAGGAAACTCCTCTGATTCTGAACATCCATAATTTCTTATGGAGTATATAGTTGTGCTCAAAAAAACTAAGACTCAGTTGAACCTACAAATGAAAAATCAAGTAAGATACTACTTCTGTACATGTTCATTGAAGGCTGACTGCTTGCCAGGCACAGGGTTAAACCTGGAATCCAACTACAAATAAGAGAGACTTGGAATTTATAATCGGGCATGAAAAGGGCAAAGTTAATAGAACAACTATGCTGACAACAAAGACACTGAGACAGTGAATGAATAGTGGAAGAACAACTCCATATACTGTGTTCTAGGAAGCCTCTGTGCCAGGTCCGTCTAAAATGAGAACTGAACGAGGCGAGGGGCATGGCGCTCCACGCCTGCAATCCCAGCACTTTGGGAAGAGTGAGGCAGAAGGAACCCAAGTTCCAGCCTAGCCTGTTTAGTTAGAGGGGAGGGTGAACACTGGCGGGTTAGGGCCATGAAACGAGGGAAGTATTTTCTCTTTGTATTTTGATGAGATCCTGCCTCAAAAATTTTAAAAATTTTTCAAAAAGACTTCATGATGCAGTTCAACGAGAAGGCCCTGAGTGCAATCCCCAGTACAATTAAAAAATAAAATAAAATAAAATCTGAACCTGAGAAAATGTTCATGTTGGTGTCATCCTTCCCCAAAGCACCCACCACTTGCTTTTCGTATAGCAGGGATCCCATATAGCTCTCCTTGGCCTCGACTTCCTCATTCCTGAAATAAACGTCCAAGAATCCTTCCAAATGCAGGACATATTTGAGAAGGGAAAGCTACCTAATGAAGGAGGCGCGGGGATGGTGGTAGCAGAAGCAAAAATTAAGTGAGTGCAAAAAGGAGTGCAAGATCTCGCATCACTCAAAGAGTAGACCAAAACCACCCAACTGCTACCTGAAATGTGCTGCATCGTAGACAACACATCAGCAGAAAGCGTCCATCCCCTCAACCCAGGGAAACAACACCCAAACGGAGGTACGCGCAAAACCGCACCAGAAAGGCCAGCCCCCAGAGCCCTCGAGACTGTCCCGCACGCGCAGAAGTGCCGCTGGTTCTCTGGGCTGCCAAGGCAACGGCCCCAACCGGAAGCGATGCAGGGAATCCCTGCGCCCTCGCCGACCGGTCCTGGGGCGAGGTCAGCCACCAGCCGAGCCCGGGCTGGAGAGACTCGTCCCCTCCTCGCCCTGAGCACCCTCCACTGGCGCGCCCAGGGGAGAAAGCTCTGCAGCCACCTCCTCTCCCCTCGCAACACTCCCTCTGCGACCCCTGGCCTCGCGCAGACGGAGCTCCGCGAGGGCCAGGGCGCCCCCGGCCTTCCGCGCGGAGCCGGTCCTCGCCGCCGCCCTCCTTCAGCGCCGGTACACAGCCGGGAACCTGTGTAACTGCGGAGGCGCTGTGAGGGGCTGGCGGGCGAAGACAGGGCCGCACCCCCGGCAGAGACGCAGAAGAGAAAGGAGAGGAGCGCGAGAAAGACGTGTAAGTGCGAAGGGCGGGTGGAGAGCGGAAGGTCGCGAAGAAGCAAACAGAACTGAGGGCCGAGAATTTCTAAACCGGCTCTTACCGTCTGCGGGAGACGCCATCTTCCAACCCATGTCACGTGACGTGGCCAACCGTCGGCGGGAAAGTGAGGCTCCGCCAGCCACGCCCCGGAAGAGACGGCCTATCCCCAGCTCGCACCTCTGTCTCGTTTTCCCGCCCCACAGGGCAGTATTTGCCTATCCCCGCCCCTGACCGCCACGCCCACCGCGCGGGTGTTAGCGGGAGCCGCGGCAAAATTCTTGGAGGGTCTTATTTACTTACCTCAGTGAGGGGGCGGAGCCTCGGTTGTGCATGTGGCCAATCGGGCTTTCGGGTTAGGGGGCGGTGTCCCCTCGTGCTTAATATAGCGCACCCAAATCAGGGGCGACTTGGTATCTCCGCCAATAGAATTAGCCGAAGTGGGAGGGGGCAAGGACTCTTGCTTCTGACCAATCACATATCCCTAAAACTGGCAGTGAGGGGGTGGGGTCAGATGTTCGCGCGAGTGATTGGCTAGGGAGGTGATTCTGTTTCCCAATGAGGAGGTCCGGCAGGATGGAGGGCGCGGCTTGGAGCTGGCGCTGCGAGCGGAGCGGAGGTGCGGGCCGCGGAGCAGAGGCGGCCGGGAGCCATGGCGGCGGTGGTGACGGCGGCAGCGGCGCGGGCGCGGATTCTGCAGGCGAGTGAGGGGGGCCGCGAAGCTAGGAATGGATCCTCTCCCCGCGCTGTCTGAGCCGTGCTCCGGCAGGACCGACCTCGGGCCAGCCGCTCCCCGGCCCTCCCGCCCCGCCGTCCCCGTCCCACGCTCCCCCTCGGACCCTCGCCCGAGGTGCAGCCCCGGAGGTCGCCCCGGCGCTCTGCCCGTTCGCTCCTGAGCGTCCTCCTCGCTGGCTCCGGTCCTGCGGAGTCCCCGCTTGCTTGCTGTCCCCTCGGTCCGGCCGCCGCCTTCCCCTTTCACCCCTGCGCCCGCCGGTCTGCTCTCCCCGGAACGCCCCTTTCTGGTCACCTGCCGTAGAGATCTGTGCTTTGCTGGGAGCGTCCCAGTCGATGAACACACACGAACACACACGCACACACACACACACACCCGCCATCTTCTCTGTTTCTAGCGCGAGATGAAGGGGGAGGGTGTGTGCAGGGGCGAGGGGCCAGGGTCAGCGGCTGAACTTTGAATCTTTTAGGAACGTACAGTCGGTTTTCGCCAAAGGCAGTCATTTGGCAGGCTGCTCTTCGCTCTTTGCATTTCTGGGAGTATTTTCCCTTTGTATTTTGCTCTTTGTATTTCTGCAAGTTCTGAACGTTCCTGCCAAGACATTCAGTTAAACTTTCAATGAAGTTAATGTTTAGAGTGGAGGTAAACTGGGACACATCGTTAAGCTACTGCTACTTCTCATGTAGTTCAGAGGACTAAACATTCTTCCAAAACAGGCGATAGAAGATGAGAGCGGGCCGGGGATGTAGCTCAGTGGCACAGCGCCTTGCTTGGCCAAAGTCCTGAGTTCGAGTCCCACTACAAAAGAAAAGAAAGTGAGAGCTGAGGAAGTCCGGAAGTTCCCAGCTCTTACCCCGGAGTCAGCTCTTGAGGGACCAACACACCCTGCAGTCTGGCTTCCCTCTGAAGCCAGCCTCGGGAAAGCAGTAGAGCTCCAGAGCCTGATGCGTGAGACCCAGCTGTGTGTAGCCTTTGCTCTGTTGCTTACAGCCTAGCAAGCACGTGAAATTTGAGGCAAGACTGACTTCTGGCAAGATACTCAAACCTGCGAGAAACAGCCTTGCCCTTCTTATTTATCCCATCCAGCCTGGGAGCGGTATCAGATTTCAGTGGGTTCTACTGCAGAAATGTCTGCATTTTTAAGATTCTTGGCAGCGTTAGAAAAGGTGCGCGTTTGAATATGCTAGTTAATGGGACAGCGTGAAGAACGGGCAGGAGTTAGACTGGCTTGGCTTCGCTCCTATCTCTTGCAGTGATCTGCTTCCGTTCTAGCCTTTTTTAGGAGGAGGGAAACAGAGTTTCCATCCTGTGTTTCCCACTGCCAGCTTCTTGAAATCTTTTACCGAAAGGAGCTTTTTCCCTTTGCCTGTGCCCCGCTCACAGTGAGAGACTGAAAGCCTTCGGAAGCCGTTTTGTCCTTGCGATCAAGGAGGAACATCTCTCTCCCTCTGTACTTTATCTTGGAGACAGACTATTTTTTTATTCACTTGAAGAAACCTCTGAACTGACTCGGAAAAGGCCAGAAGTAATAATCCTTAGCCAACTAGGAGTTGCTCTAACATGAGACTGATAAATTGCCTAAGCCAGGTGTAATAGCTCTGGCCTGCAGCCCCAGCTACTTGGGAGGTAAGCAGACTGCTTAACACTAAGAGTTTGACAAAACTGGTCTGAATAACATAGCAATATCTTTTCTGAAAAAAACTACAAGAAACTCTAAATTCTGGTAGTTGTGAATCTTAGAGGACAGTTAAAAGACCCTAGATAGGGTGTGGTGGTATTGTGGCATGCTGAAGCAGGAGATTCCAAGTTTACAGCCCTCCTGGGAAACTCAGCAAGACCCTGTATTAAAATCAAATTAAAAGGGCTGAAGGTGTAGCTCAGCACTCTTTGGGTTTAATCCCCAGCACTAAAAGAATTAAAAAGAAAAATGATATATGAAGGTACAAGTTTATGTTTTAAGCATTTAGCTTAGCTTATCTGTTATCGAGCATATACCTTAAATCTCTCTCTGTTCTTGTAGTATATTCCCATTTGGGGAAAGCCAGTCTGAAAGAGAGTCACTGACTTACCTCAGTAATGTGGTACAAAGACTACAAGCTTCACAATCATACTTAAATTTATTTTTATCCTAGCTCCACTTCTTTTTTGGAGGGTGGTACTGGGAATAGATCCCAAGGATGTTCTACTACTGACCTACCTCCTCCTGCCTCAGCCTCCCAAGTGCTGGGATTACAGACATGCACCACCATGCCCAGCCTGGGCAACATAATGAGAACTTGTCTCAAAATAAAAAATATTTTAAAGGGCTGGGGATGTAGCTCAGTGCAAAGGCCCTGGATGTAATCCCCAATAACACACATGCACGTACAATTTAAGTGGTCTAGAATGCTCAAGTTGGTTGATCAGTGCCTATTCTGTCCTGCATGAAACAAAATTAGTATCAGATGGTTGCTTGGTGACTACTCATTCTTTCATTCTGCAGATGAGTGCTTCCTGTATTCCAGGAACCATGCTAGGGACTGAGGACACCGTGGTCTAGCGATGTAGAGAGAAAGACAGTTAAATGCACTGTTACTCCAAAATGTGAGACGAGGAATGGAGGAATTTAGCTGCTTCCGAACTGCACAGTGAGACTTTCCAGAGCAAGGGAGGGCCAAGTGGAGACCTCAAGGAGCGGCAGAGACAAGCAAATGCACGGAACAGTGCAGGCAAGAGGGCAGACCTGCATAGGCCAGGGCAGAGTGCACAGAACGTGTTCCAAGCGGCTGCAGCGCAGAGAACAAGGAGGAAAGCAGAGGAGCACCAGGCATGGTGGTGCGTGCCTGCAGTCCCAGCCACCTGGAAGGCGGAGGTGGGAGGATCACAAGTTCAAGCCCAGAGGGCAACTTAGCCAGATCCTGTCTCAGAAGACACAAAGGACTGGGAATGTAGCTCAGAGGTTGGAGCCCCAGTAACAGAGAGAGAGAGACTGAGAGACTAGAGAAGCACAGATAATATGCAGTTTTCCAAACAACGTCAAGAGGAGTGGGGAGCCATTGAAGGTTTGGTTTCGTTGTGGCAGGGAGGAAGCCTAACTTGCCCTTGCACATACTCGGCAAATACTGCTGAACTACATCGTCTGCCCCATGGGAGGGTTTTGAACAAGGGAATGATCTGACCAGATTTGTGTTTTACAAAGACACTATCCAGTGGAAACTACATTCACAAAGTTTAAGCCAGGTGTGGTGGCTCACGCCTGTAATCCCAGCGCTTGGGAGGCTGAGGCAGGAGGACCGGAGGCTGGGAGCCCCATTAGGAAGCCATTACTGAAGTCCAGGTGACAGACAAGGACATGGTAGAGTGGAGCAGTGGGACAGGGGTGGTGTGCTCCAAAGACTTCTAGGAAATCAGGTTACCAGGGCTTGTTTGACCAAGAAAAGAGGGAGGAAACGGGGTGACATTCACAGTTCTTGGGCGGCTAAGAGTGACCCCCTTCACTCAGAGCCCCACTGAACTGATAGGTGGACCGTAGGGAGCACAGCAGCTGGCGGGAGGGTAAAGGAGTGTTCAGCTCTTCCAGCAGGTGGGAGGACAGTTACACGGACGCAGCCTGCCGCCAAGAGGCCGAGGACTGCAGGTGGGGCAGCTTCGGGTCTGGCTGACCCCTAGGAGCTGACAAAAGCACCACGGCGTGCATGCAGATTGAGAAGGGAACAAAGCCTAGGACCAACCCCTGAGGAACCCAAAGAGTAAATTTCCAGGTAGGAGTCGATAAACCCGGAAAAGGGACGGCAAAATGACCAAAGCAAGAGAAGAGATGCCAGGGCATCCCAGAAGACAGTGCAGAAGGCACGCAGGGGAAGAAAAAAAAAAAAGGGCAGGGGATATAGCTCAGTGGCATAAGCGCCTGCCTGGCAAGCGCAAGGTCGTGAGTTCGATCCCTGGTACTGTGCAAATGAAAAAAAAAGGCGGGGCGGGGGGGCAGGGCGGCCACGTCTCCTCTGCTGAGAGGTCAGGTCCAGGAAGGGCTGAGGAGAATCCAGGGGCTACAGGGAGTCACTGGTCATCCCCGTCACATTCCTTGCTCCTGGGACCAAATGCCCACCCCAAGCACGAAGAGGGAGAGGGTTATTTCAGCTCACAGTTTATAAAGCTTTCAGTCTACATTCGGGCCGCACCAAGGCAGAGGAAAAGGAGCTAGAGCTGGAGATAAACCCTTCCAGGTCACACGCCCAGTGACCCCCTACACACACACCTCCCCAGACCCCAGCGATGAGCACGTGAGCCTTTCAGGGGACATCCAGATAAACCGTGACATTCTGCCCCTGGGCGGGGAAAGACTCCCGCGCCTGCCTTTGTGCAAAATGTTTTTAGTCCGTCTCTAAGAGCCAGAGCCCTAACAGTTTCAGCATTGTTGAAAATTCCAAGTCCAAACTCTTCACTGTGAGCGCCTGTAAAAAATCAAAGTTAAATATTGCTGATGTACAAAGGCGCAGGGTAAACACTGGCGTTAACCCTGAGGGTTGGGGTAGATTGAAGTTAGCAGGAGACGATGAAATGAAGATAATTCATATGGCCTCTTTAGGAAGAGCGTGGTTAAGAGTAAGACTCAGGTCTGGAACTATAGCTCAGTGGCACAGTGCTTGCCTGCCTGGCAATTGCAAGGTCCTGAGTTCGATTTCTGGCACAAAAAAAAAAAAGTAAAGGACTCAGATTTGAGGAAGAGGAAGGATTTTAGTGTAACATGCTTAGAAAGCAGCAGTTGGATAGAGGTTTAAGGTACAGGAAAGAATAATGGACGGAATTGTCTTGAGATAGGAAAAGTTGGCTTCAGAGCCCAGGGGCAGACACTAGCTTAGATGTCTTTAGTCTATGGACATTGATTGTGCGCATCTGCGTCTCTTCCCTTTACTTTCAGCTCGTTCGCTACCTCCATCAGGTGCAGGCCACCTTTGCCAGTTTGCAAATAAAGTGAAGAAGTTAAACTTCATTAGGCACACGCTTATAATCCCAGCACTTAGGAGGCTGAGGCAGGAGGATCATGAGTTCGAGGGTAGCCTGGGCTAATACATTGCAAGTTTGAGGCCAGGTTGGGCTACTAGTGAGACCTTGTCTCAAAAAAACAAAATAAACTGGGGATGGTGGCACACATCTATAATCCCCGGACTCGGGAGGCTGACGCAGGAGGATTGCCACAAGTTTGAGACCGGGGCTCCATGGTAAATTCAAGACCAACCAGAACTACATATCAAGACCCTGTCTCAAAAAGAAGGAAGGGATTGAGGAAGTTCTCGCCCCTCATCGTATTGTTTCTGTTTTCTCTGAAGCGTGAAAAACAAAGCGAGAGAAGTAACAGAGTTGAAATTTTTAAGAGAATTGTTAAGTTTTGAAGTAGCAAAGCGTAAAAGTAAGTAAGTATATGCAAGTATATTTAATGAGCACCAGCTACATTCTAGTTACTTTCCATACCTGGAAAATCTTGATTGCAATAACTGTAAAACAGGTGAACAAAGCAGACTCAGTGCCTACCCTCCTAGAACTTAGTCTTTTGGGATAACAATTGCCCAGGCATGGTAACACCAAAAACTTAGCCGGGCATGGTGGCACCTGTAAAAATTAACCTGTGTAATCCCAGCACTTGGGAGGCTGAGGCAGGAGGATCGTTGTGAGTTGGAGGCCAACCTCAGCTACAAAGTGAGCTCAAGGCCAGCCTGAACTGCAGAGACCCTATCTCAAAAAGACAAAACAACAACAACAACAAAAATAAACCTCACCGGGGAAGTATCAACTGCCATGGGATTACAAAAAGGAACTTCTAGTCTGAGGTGGGAGGCAGACAATGGTGGACCTTCCTTTTATTGAGCACCTACTATATGCCAGGTACTACTCTGGCATTGGGAACATGGCTATAAGCAAGGCTTGGTAGCCCCTAGGAGAGTGTTGATGGTTTGATCAGTTTTTATGGGGAATGGGAAAGGAAGCAGACCAGACATTTGGAAGGATTGTTTGCTGGCCCAAAGGACCAGCACCGTTCACACCAGGGAGTATTATAGATGCACACAAAGTCTTGTGCTTTGGTTAATACTGGTCTCTTTTCAGACGAGATAGTTATTAAATTCCAGCTTTATCTAACAGCTCGGTCTTGAGCTTCACTTTGCTCGCTTTGGTTAGTGTCAAGTGTTTCTTAAGTCAACTTCTGCAACATCTGTACAAACTGTTCCTCAGAGTTGCAGTCCAAGAGTCACATTACTGTACCTGGCCTTTCTTCCCCCTTCGCTGGTTTTATCCTATCAGATGGTGCCTATACCACACAATTTTTTTCCAAAAGGTACCTTATTGAAATAAATTCAGTCAGTTTAACATTTGTGTACACCCGTCACCATCATCAAAACAAAAAACATCATCGCAGTCCAGATAAAGAACATAGCCATCCCCCGAAAAGTCTCTCTGTCACCCATCATCCCTGGGTAATTACGCTACCCTCTGATACTGCAGGTTAGTTCGTAGTGTTATGTACACGAAGCCCTCTGTGCTCTCTACGCCTGGCGCCTTTCACTTGCCACAGTGAGACTTGTCTGTGTGTGTATCAGTTCGTCCCTTGTTACTGTTGCGGATGTTCCCTCTGTCTCCTGTTCACCAGGCAGGGGCCGGCGCGGAGTCATTTCCAAGTTCTGCTCCTGCAAATAAAGCGGCTCTGAACGCTGGTATCCAGTTAGCTGCATGTGTGTGTTATACTCACAGTCAGGTACTCTATCCTTCCGGTGATCAGATACTATCTTAATCATTTTATTATAGTGATTACATTCTGTCTTCAACTCTTGGACATTGGACTAAGCGCTTTCATATTGTTTCTCCTCATTGTTAGGTTTATGATGATTATATTTTCTAGGCCAAAAATTTAGGAAAATATGATATGACCAAAAGAATTTTTTAAATCAAGACCATCCTAGAAACTCACCTGGTCACACTCATTTTGATTTCTCTCCCCTCCCCGTGTTCTGCGTCTCGTCCTTTCACGCCCTTGTTAATGGCTGTGAGGCCCTTGCGAGCAGACGCCCAAGTTCTTCCTGTCCCCGCAGTGGCAGCGTAACGCGGAGCGTCGAGCGGCCGCTCACTGAGTTTGTAATACTTCGCTGCTCTCATCTGTCCCACCACTGCTCTGTCTCACAGGTGTCTTCCAAGGTGAACTCGGCCTGGTGCCCAGCACGCTCCTTCTCCTCGTCAGTGGTGAGTACACTGAGCGCTGAAGCTCCCCTTCTGAGAGGGAACCGGCTCCTTCTGAGCTCTTTCCTTCTTCTCTTCTATTATTGCAGTGAGACCGTGTGAGATTATCTGTCTTGTTTTTCCCATGTAAGCTTATGTCCACTATGCTGTAAGTAATGGTGTGTGTGTTTCGTCTTATAGCAATATTAGAGATTGAACCCAGGAATACTCTACTATTGAGCTACTTCTCCAGCCCTTTTTATTTTTATTTTTTATTTTAAAGCTGCCAAATTATAAAGCACTTCATTTACCGAAATCAAATTAACAAACACACAGACATAAAACAACATAAACACAATAAAAGCAATACAGAATTTCAGACAAGGTGGTAGGAAATTAACAATGGTTGTGTTACAGCCCTTTTTATTTTGAAACAGGGTCTGACTCGGTTACTGAGGCTAGCACTGAACTTGCAGTCCTCCTGCCTCAGCCTCCCAAGTAACTGGAATCACAAGCACATGCCACTGCGCTCAACTATAATTAGGATTTTTAATGGCTATGTAATAGTCCTCCATCAAGTATATGTAACTTGAATTAGCTAATAATTTCTTCGTGTAACATTTAGATGATTTCAGTTTTTCAATAATATAAAAAAGCTCTTTATATAGCTTTTTCCTTCTTTACTTACTATATTAAAACTATAAACATTTCTGTGGCCTCTAGAAATTTAGACTTTGTTTTTTAAATAGTCTTGCTGTGTTGCCCAGGTTGGTCAACCCTCCTGCCTCAGCATCCTGAGTTGCTGGAACTATAGGCACACACCAGCATGCCCAGCTCTCCTGTAGGTGGGATTGAACCTACTGGATAGTTAGTTGTCTTCTACATAATTTTTGGAGTTGTTTTCCCGACCATCTGCCCACCAGTGATCGGCGGTACCTAAGCAAGGGCTGCGGCTCGAAAGCTTTGTACAGAAGTATGCGCACACTGTCACGCAGTCAGCCTTCATGGTCTCTGCCTCCAGCCCTGTGAGGGCTGGAACATAGTCAGTCTCCTTTGGAGTCCGTGCTGGAGTTTGGTTGCCGTTGAGGCAGTCCTGGCGGGGGGCGGGGCTTCTGAGAGGCCGTGCAGCTGTTAGGAGGGGTCAGTGACCTTCTTGCTTATAGCCCCTTCCACCCCTCGCTACGTCGTGATGCAACGCAAAGCCCTTGCCAAGTGCGGCTACCTCACCTTAGACTTTTGCCCTGTAGAACTCAGATAAGCAAGCTGCTTTCCTTTATAAATTACCCAGTCTCTGATACTCTCTTATAAAAACAGGAAACACTTAAGACAGACCTCTTTGAAAGGAGCTACTTCAGCCGGGTGTGATGGCACACGCCTGTAACCCCAGCATTCGGGAGGCTGAGGCAGGAGGATTGTTGCAAGTTCAAGACCAGCCTGAGCTACAAAATGAGCTCAAGGCCAGCCTGAACTGCAGAGTGAGACCCTGTCTCAAAAAAAAGACAAAACAAACAGGAGCTACTTCAAAGAAAAACCCAGAAAACACCTGGATAGAAATATTTTAAAAGCCGGGTGTGGTGGCACATGCCTGTAATCCCAGCACTTGGGAGGCTGAGGCAGGAGGATCGCTGTGAGTTCCAGACCAGCCTGGGCTACAAAGTGAGTTCAAGGCCAGCCTGAACTGCATAGCAAGACCCTGTCTCAAAAAGACAAAAAAATTTTTAAAATTTCTAAAAAGACAAAAAAATAAAGGTAACATATATGGTCATGTGACAGAAAGTCAATGGGTCCAACAAGAATCATTGGCTAATCTGTATTAATATAGAGCAGCTACTTTTTAAATATAAGCTTCAAGCTGGGCGTGGTGGCGCATGCCTGTAATGCCAGTGCTCGGGAGGCTGAGGCAGGAGAATTGTTGCAAGTTAGAGGCCAGCCTGGGCTACAAAGTAAGCTCAAGGCCAGCCTAAACTGCATAGCGAGACCCTGTCTCCAAAAAAAAAAAAAAAATATATATATATATATATATATATATGGCTTCGCGGGGCCCCTGGGCATGGTGGCACTCGCCTGTATGCCAGCACAGAGGAGGCTGCGGTGGGGAGGATCACAAGTTTGAGTCCCACCTGGGCACCTTAGTGAGATTCCTGTCTCCAGAAAGAAAAAGGGCTGGGGATGTAGCTCAGTGCAGAAACCCGGAGTTCAGCTCCCGCTACTGGAGAAAGAAAGAAAGGTCTGTACAAGTGAGGTCTCCTGGGTGAGTCACAGGAGGGCCCGGCGCGGAGAGGTTCGGTGCTGAGCGGCGCCGCGCACAGGAGCACGGCCGTGCGGCTGTTGAGCGTCTTCTGCTTGCTGGGAACGTTTCCTTGCCGTCTCCAGGCCGGGAGCTCGCGGCCAGGTCTCGTGTGTGCCAGGCACGCCGGCTCTTAGCTGCACCCCAGCTGGGCCCGGGCTTCCTGTCCTCTTCCCTCAGCGACGAGTAGCCGAGGTTCCAGGCCTGCGCCGGCACGCCCAGCCCTGGAGTGGGAGACTCATTACCGGCCTGAGTTCCTCCTTCGGGAAAAGGAAAGCGGGATGCGAAACAACAAATTAATGTAAACTTTCGGTTTCCTGCTTTTTTCTAGCCAACTGTAAAACTCTTCATTGATGGGAAATTTGTTGAATCCAAAAGTGACAAATGGATTGACATCCACAACCCAGTAAGCAAAAGCTTTCGAACTTAAAACTGACTAGCCTAGAAGGTTGGGCACACGGTAAAAGGTGAGGACCGGGCCTTTATCAGGGCGCAGGGGTGCTGTCTCGGTGACCGGACAGAGCACAGAGAGGGCGCATAGGCAGGGTGTGATGGCTTCTTTTTCCCGACAGGCCACCAATGAGGTCATTGGTCGGGTGCCCGAGTCCACCAAGGCCGAAATGGACGCGGCCGTGGCCTCCTGCAAGCGCGCCTTTCCTGCGTGGGCGGACACGTCCGTGCTGAGCCGGCAGCAGGTCCTGCTCCGCTATCAACAGCTTATTAAAGAAAACTTGGTAAGAAATCCGCATGGTATCGTTGTCCACACTCCCGCCTAGGGAGAGTTGGTCACTCCGCAGCGACCTTACCAGCTGCGCTCCCTGACTCCGCACCAGGCACACACCGAGGCGGCTCTCCCCGCGGGTCTCTTCTGCAAGCTTCCCCGGCTGATGGAGAACTGCCGGAGTAACAGGGGCTGGGGATGTAGCTTGGTGCCGCCTGGCGGTAGAGTGTGTGCTGGGCACGTGTGAGGCCCTGGGTTCAATCCCCAGCACCAGAAAGATGAAAAAGGAGGAGGAGAGAGCGAGGGGGAGGAGAGAAGGAGGGAAGGAGGAAGGAAGGAATCTCCTTGCATTATTTTTTATTTGTTCGTTTTCTCTCTAGAAAGAAATTGCCAGGTTAATCACAATGGAACAAGGGAAGACCCTCGCTGATGCCGAAGGAGATGTATTTCGAGGCCTTCGTAAGCTGGGAGCCCCTCATGGGTTTGGGGAAAGAGCAAAGAAAGATGGGGGGCGAAGGTCGCAGAAAGGGGAGGTTGCTGCTTTATGCAGATTTTGCTATCCCATAATACCTTTTTTTTTTTTTCAATACTGGGGATCAGATCCAGGGATGCTATACCACTACCACTAAGCTACATCCCTGCTCCTTTTTTTTTTTCTTTATGTTGGGACAGAGTCTCACTAAGTTGCCCAGACTGGTCTTGCACTTGTGATCCTCCTGCCTCAGCCTCTCAGAGTGCTGGGATTACAGGCAAGTGCTATGACACCTGGCTCCGTGATACCTTTTTTAATACTTACTTTAAAAATGGCAATACTTATCAAGTACCATTGAGAATGATTTATTTCATTTTTTATTTTACTCAGATGACCTTCCAAGTAGGTATATACATATCACTGTCTTTTCCCTATACTGAGACTTTTTTTTTTCAGTACTTGGAATTGAACCCCAAGCCTTTACAATGAGCTACATCCCCAGCCCGTTTTTATTTTTTATTTTGAGACAAGATCTCACTGAGTCACTAAGTTGCTTAAGTGGGGCTCAGACTTGTGGTCGTCCTGCATCAGCCTCCCAGAACACTGGGATCACAGGCATGAGGCTCCACCTCTGGCTGAGACACTCCTCTGTACAACCTCTTCACATGGAAAGAAGTCAGTGTCTTTGGCCTGAGCCACTCCCCCGCGAGGGGCTCAGCGAGCGTGACAAAGCTGAGTGTACTCAGCGTGGCACGCTGGTGGGCTGGCTTCTGTGTTGCAGAGGTGGTCGAGCACGCCTGCAGTGTGACATCCCTCATGCTGGGAGAGACCATGCCGTCCATCACCAAAGACATGGACCTCTATTCCTACCGCCTGCCCCTGGGGGTGTGTGCAGGCATCGCTCCGTTTAACTTTCCCGCCATGATACCCCTCTGGATGTTTCCCATGGCCATGGTCTGCGGAAACACTTTCCTAATGAAGCCATCGGAGCGAGTGCCTGGGGCGAGTATGCTGCTCGCTAAGTTGCTGCAGGATTCTGGCGCCCCTGACGGAACACTGAACATCATCCATGGAAAACACGACGGTAACCGCCCTCCGCCCGGGCCCCTCGGCCTGCTGACCAGGAAACAGAGCTGTCGGGTGGTGATGGGGTACCGCGCGGTGGGAAAGCCAGGGGAAGGGGAGTTACTAACAGTAGCCTCCGTGTGTGAAGGTGACGTGTGTTGACTTTCGTCGTGTGTGCGCTCATGTAGCTGACGAGAGGACCAGGGCCCCTTGCCTTTCACTCCCCACGGGGACACGGAGACACAGCTTAGGACCAGACAGAGATAAGAGCGAAGTTTTGTTTCAACGTGGAGGGGATTCGTGAGGAATTTAACTGAATTTGTAGACAGCAGAGAAATTGAGAGCCTTCTAATTCATTTAATAACTAACACTTAAGTAGTGCCCCTGTGATTTAGGCCCTGTTCCTAGTTCTAACATCCATGGCTGGGAGTGTAGCTCAGTGGCAGAATGCCTGCTTTGCGGAGCATGCAGAAGGCCCTGCGTTTGACCCCAGCAAGAAGTAAATAACTTAGTAAAAAAAAGAAAGAAGTACATTTTTTCTTGCCATTTAATGTTTGTAACAATTTAAGGTCAGTACTATTTTTCCTTATTTTAAATATGAGAAAATTGAAACATAAAGTAAGACATTTGCCAAAAAAAAAAAAAAATTTGCCCAAAAGTCATACTGCTAGAAACCATCAGAATGTGTTACCCAGGGAGACTGGTGCGTGCGTGCTTGCATATACTTATTTGTTTGTTTGTTTATTTGTTTATTTATTCAGACAGGGTCTTGCTCGGCAGTTCAGCCTAGCCTTGAACTCACTATGTATCCTGGGCTGGCCTCAAACGCATGGCAGTCCTCCTGCCTCAGCCTCCCAAGTGCTGGGATTACAGGCATGCACCACCAAGCCTGGCTGGTTCTTGCTTTCAAATACTACGTCCTGTACTTCTCACAGGAGGGCACTGTTCTACCTGCGGGTCTCACTGTATAGACACAGTTGAAGATGTACCACACTGGTAAAGCACAAAGAGGAGGGGCCGGACACTGGAAGGCTGCTACTAAAGGAAGTAGCGGTTGCAGTCTTCAGCTAGACTAGAAGCGGGAACTCTGAAACAGTTAGTGGGAAAACAGTGAAAGGGAAGAGGTTAAATAGAACTTGCAACTTAAAGAGTTTAAGAGAAATAAATATGGAAGAACTTCATAATGGGAATCCAATACAGGAAAACAAACTGAAAAGTTGATTCCTAGCAGCGGGGAAGGGGAAGATCTGCCATCTTGAGAAGACTGAGGCTGTCTGTTCTTTGTGGTAATCCTTTGTTTTCTTCTTAAAGCTGTCAATTTCATTTGCGATCACCCGGACATCAAAGCCATCAGCTTTGTGGGATCCAACCAGGCAGGAGAGTACATCTTCGAGAGAGGGTCCAGACACGGCAAGAGGGTTCAAGCCAACATGGTGACTTCTGACTCCCTTTCCCCCAAGCTTTGTGTGTGTGTTTAAATGACCCGGGACCGCCCTTCCGCAGAGGGCTCGCCCACTCCCCTCCAACGCCAGTATTTCTTCAGTGTATTTTACCCCGAATGTCTTCTCCTTAGCCAGGAAGTCTGAGTTGCACTCAGTCACACTGATCATCTTTTGTTGTATACGGATAATCTTGGTGACACAGGGCACATTCCTTCTTAAGTGTCAGATTCTTTAGGCTTCAGCGGTAGCAGCCAAGTGCTGGTTCTGTTACTTCCTTTATAACATGCTTCCTTCTTTTAAGGACTATCTGAACTACTAATGTCAAAGATATGGTCATCCCACCAGAAAGAGCTAAATGTCCCTAATGATTTGTGCATGTGGTTTACTTTTACTGTTCTAGCTCCTTGACACATGGTGAGCAAATTCTTTTTGTGCGTGTGATACTAGGGATTGAACCCTCATATGTGCATGCCAGGCAAGCACGCCATCACTAACTACATCCTCTGCCCTTTTTATTTCAAATCAAGAGTCTTGCTTGCTAAATTGTACTGGTGAGCCCGAGACTTGTGATCCTCCTGCCTCAGCCTCCCAGATAGCTGGATTACAGCCATGGGCTACCATGCCAGGCTGACTCTTTAATACTGAATAAAAAATTCTGCTGCACCTGTCTCATCCCTCTCCCCGCTCCCACCCCAACCCCTCCAGTATTGAACCTAGGCCTTTGCACTGAGCTATATCCTCAGCCTTTTAAAAAAAATTTTTGAGGCCAGGAATATAGCTCAGCAGTACAAGTGCCTGCCTGGCAAGCACAAGGTCCTGAGTTCAATTCCTGGTACCAAAAATAATTTTTAAAAAAATTTTTGAGATAGAGTCTTGCTAAATTGGCTGGGCATGGTTGCACACACCTATAATCCCAGCACTCAGGAGGCTGAAGCAGGAGGATCACTGCAAGTTCGAGGCCAGCCTGGGGTACAAAGCAAGTTCAAGGCAGCCTGAACTCCATAGTGAAATCCTGTCTCAAAAAAAAAGAAAAATTGTACAGTTGCCCTTCCTAGGGTGCTGGGATTACAGGCATGCTCCTGTAGGCTCAGCTGTCCCATCCTTCCTTCCTGTTGTACAAGGGACAGCCAGCTATGCACAGACTGAGAAACTTCATGACACGCCCACTCCCGCGGTCTTTCCCACTCACTGTTCGTTGGGTGTATTCTGTGTCAACATCACGCTCTATCAGGGTAATGACATCCCTCAGTTACTGCGGCCTGCTCAGGTCCACATTCTCCCAAACGAGTGTACAGCAAAGGCTAATAGAAAGGGCAAATGGAGTGATTTCAGGGCTCCAGGAGGATTAGAACCTTCTCACAGAATTCAAGATTCTCTCAGGGCAAAGACCAAGAACTTCTCTGGGTGACAGTATTTATTTGGTTATCAGAAGAGAGGGGAGTACTCAAGAAGGGCAGAATCACTCAAGGACTTCTCCAAGTAAGTTATTAAATTAATCCTCCACCCAGGCGTGAGATGCCTGAGGCTAGTCTTTATCTAGTTGAGATCAGAGCCAGGTGTCCTTAGCTGTGTGATTTTGTTTTATTCTTTGAGGCTTTCTGGTTTCATCTGCCATTACAGCCTTTAGTAGGGATTAGTGACTGTCAGGGGTTTACTTACTATGAGTCCACCACCCATCTCCAGGCAAGGAGTCTAGGCCTTGGACAGACTCACGAGTAAATGTGGAAAGTCACTTGGTTAATTTAAGTCCTGCTCAGGGCTGCTTCGTAGTGGTTTCCATCGGTGCATGATGGGATTAACAGACATGGTATCTATCCATGCAGCCAACTGAATTCTTACATGGAAATTTATTGATCATCCTACATAGAAAAGACATACATGTAGCTATATTATGTAGAAACAAGCCAATTTGGGGACCTCTTTTTTTTTTTTTTTTTTTTTTTTTTTGGTTCCAGGAATCAAACTCAAGACCTTGTGCTTGCCAGGCAGGCGCTTGTGCCCCTGAGCTATATCCCCAGCCCATTGGGGACCTCTCTCTAAAAGTTACGTATCTGGAGGTCTGCCTTCTAGTTTGACTTTCGGCTGATTACTGACTTTAACTGTTACTGGCAGCTTCTTTATAATGTTGTTCATTAATGGGAAACCCAAGTGGACAACAAATTCTTGCCTATCTAACTTAGGAAAAAAAAAGGGTATTTTCCTTGGTTCCTGAATGTAATGTTTAACCTATTGGTTTGAATGTGATTGGGACTTATTTCCTCCCTTTGTTGGTAATAGTTTTTGATCTAAATAAATACATATCGCTGAGCGTTGTGGCACATGCTTGCAATCCCAGCAGTTGAGAGGCAGAGAGAGGTAGGAGGATCACCATGAGTTCAAGGCCAGCCTGGGCTACGTAGTAAGTTCAAGGCCAGCCGAAACTACATAGCAAAACCCTGTCTACAAAAACAAAAAACAAAACAAAAAAGGTACATAAATAAATACAAGTGTAACTGTCAGTTTATCAACTGAACAATGGAGAAAAAGTAATGTGAAGACCTACTCAATCTTGCTAAGACATTCGCAGTAACACTATTAAAAATAATTTTTCCATCCTCTAAACAACAAATGAATTCTCTAGTCCTTTGCTTAAATTGTTCTTTAATTTCTTAGCTTAATTCTATTTGGTTAAGGAAGACAATGTACTTTATTTCTTTAGGGAGCCAAAAACCATGGGGTGGTCATGCCAGATGCCAATAAGGAAAACACCCTCAACCAGCTGGTTGGGGCAGCATTTGGAGCTGCGGGTCAGCGCTGCATGGCTCTTTCAACAGCAATCCTCGTGGGAGAAGCAAAGACGTGGCTGCCGGAGCTGGTGGAGCGTGCCAAAAAACTGAGAGTCAATGCGGGTAATCAGTGACCTCCTAGCAACTCCAGACTTTGCATCTGTGGCATGAAGCTCCTGGTTTGGGCAGTGTCCTCGGCCAGGGAGAGCAGTCATGTCTGCTCTTACCATTGCCTCTCTTTAACTATTACCTGCCATTGAGTCATCTGATGAGCAGCCATAATTTGTTAATAAAGAGCTTCCCACTTGTATGTTGCTTTGCAGGAGACCAGCCTGGAGCTGATCTTGGCCCTCTGATCACCCCCCAGGCCAAAGAGCGAGTCTGCAGTCTGATTGGTAGCGGACTGAAGGAGGGGGCTTCCATCCTCCTGGATGGGCGAAACATTAAGGTCAAAGGCTATGAAAACGGTAACTTTGTTGGACCAACCATCATCTCAAATGTCAAGGTGAACAACTCTTATTTCACACAAAGCTGAAGGCACCTTAGAAGCTATGGAGGGTCATCCTTTAATTTATAAAGGATTTAATGATTAAAATCGCAGCCCTCACCAGGATTGTTTTTACTTTACCTGGAATCTGATGGACTCCCAGCCAGACCTCTGCCCTGCCCCGGCCTTCAGCACTTTCCTTATCTGTCTGTCACTGCAGTCCATCTCTGTCAACACTGCCTGACCCGATGTCGTGTGAGATCAGCCATGAGCACGTGGCTGATTGTGGCTGTGTTCTAATACTACTTTATTTACGGACATACATTTGAATTTCATGTAGCTTTATGTCATGAAGTATTCTTTTGATATTTTTCTTACCTTGTGGACTGTATAAAACAGGCAGCAGCCACAGCTGGCCCAGAGGCAGCAGCTGGCCAACCACTGTCGTACATTACTCTCCTTGCTTCAGTTCTCCCTCTCCTCCGCCCTCCAGTTCAGAGCTATTGCAGTTTCTCAAACAGTATATCAGCCACCAATTTCTTGCCCTAGTGCTGAGGAATGGGCCCAGGGAGCACTGAGCTACATCCTCCACCCTTTTTATTATTATTTTGAGACTGGGTCTTGCTAAGTTGCCCACATTGGCCTCAAATTCATAATCCTTCTGCCTCAGCCCCGGACAGCTGGGAGTACAGGTCCACCACCACACCTGGCTCCAGTAGTTACTGAACACCTACTCTGTGCCTGAAATTTAGCTGTATCTTGACAAGAAAGTGACAAAAGAAAAAGAATTCATTGGTACATTTTTATTCATCAAAACTCTGAAAAGTCTCTCAGCTAATACTTTTTTTTAATACCGGGAATCGAACTCAGGACCCTGTGCTTGCCAGGCAGGCGCTTGTGCTGCTGAGCTACATCCCCGGCCCTCAGCTAGTATTTATGACTAGGTTGAGAGTAGCTTTCTTAAAAATTCATATATACACGCTATAATCAGTAACTGGGATTGAACTCTTGCCACAGAACCATAAAGGAAAAGTCCACTGATGAGCAACGCGCTGGCTAGAAGCAGCACTGAGGATGTTCTGAGCGTTAAGTGTGACCCAGCGTCCAGGTGCAAGTGCACAAATGTACCTGGAAGCAGAGAGGGGAATGGGAACAGACTGCTTCTGTTACAGAGGGCTTTGCACGGGGTTTCTATAAACAAAAACGCTCCTGGTGTATTTAATACATGCTCGGTTTACAAAACATGAATTTTTATGTCACTTTTTGGCAACATGAGAGTTGTACGGAAGTAGCTGTGCAGGCATTACACGGGAGGCCGTGATGTTTCATGGGACCAGACACGGGAGTGTGGTGACAGTCAGTCGGGACTTCAAGTCACTGTATGCTGGTAGCTCAGATTATGGAACACAGTAAGACAGAACTTTTTTTTCTTATAAATGATTTAAAATGAAAGTAGAATGCCAGTATAAAAGCTGTCCACGTAAATAGCTTGGTAGTGAAAGTACCAAATAAGCATAAAATACTCCAAATCCAAAAACTGACTTCTTTCTGGACACGTCACTCCTGGCAGCCAAATATGACCTGTTACAAAGAGGAGATTTTCGGCCCAGTTCTTGTGGTCCTGGAGACAGAAACACTGGATGACGCCATTAAGATTATAAACGACAACCCATACGGAAATGGAACCGCCATCTTCACCACCAACGGAGCCACTGCTCGGAAGTACTCCCACCTCGTGGACGTCGGACAGGTTTGTGAACAGACGCTTTAAACATTCTTCTGGCTCTTCTCCATTCCTGAGACAGTGAGGAGTGATCAGTCACTGCAGCTTGTTTAGAGATCGCCCCTTAGTCTTCCCCAGGGCTCCCTTTCTTCCTCAGGAATAAAGGTCGGTGGTGTGGAAGATACCTACTCCATTGTGTCCCTCAAAAACCTAAGCTCTGAAATCAAAGGAAAAACGCGATGATCTTTCTGCTGTCTTTGTGCTTGAGCCCGTAGTCAGCCCTCTGCACCCTGTGCTTGGGGTTTCACGTGGACTTGTTCTGCTCTAGGTGGGCGTCAACGTCCCCATCCCAGTGCCTCTGCCAATGTTCTCATTCACCGGCTCTCGAGCTTCCTTCAGAGGAGACACCAATTTCTACGGCAAACAGGTAACTTGAGTTACGTACTTTTCCCTTTAAGAAAACTTCTTGAATATATTCAGTAGCGAGGATCCTGCAGAGAAGCGCATGTCAACAGCTTCTGTGGTCTCATACACTGTTCCACAGCTTTCTCAGAAAGTCCCCTAGAAAAGATTTAAAAGTTAGATTTTGCCCAAACTGCCTCTTCCTGAATACTTCAAGGCAACAGTTTGGGGACAGAGAACCAGGAATTCCAAGCCTTCCTACGTGCCACCTCCCCTGCCTGTACCGTTCCCCGTCTCTGACTCTTCTCCTGGCACAGCTCGGCTCCAGGAACAGAGTCCTCCAGAAAAAACGCGTGATCACCCCGACTCTCCCTGACACTGCGCGTGTGCTCCATGCGCTCCCATTGTGTATATTTCACCTAGGATAGTTCTGTTTACAGAAAAATTTTTTCTAGTCCTGGAGATTGAAGCCAGAGCCGCCTCAATGAGCTACATTCCCAGCCCTGTTTCAGTTTTTTTATTTTGAGATAGGGAGGGGCCTGCTAACTTGACCAGGCTGGGCTCAAACTTGTGATCCTCTTGCCTCAGCCTCCCAGAGCACTGAAATTACAGCTGTGTGCCACTACACGTGGCTGTTTACAAAAAACGTTACTGGGCTGGGTGTGACAGCTGACACTTGTAATCTCAGCAGTCCCAGGAGGAGCGCAGGTTTGAGCCCAGCCTGGACAACTGTGTAACTTAGCAAGAGCCTGTCTCAAAAAAAATAAGAACAAAAAAAATTTTCTAAACATTTATTTCTGTGAAGAAAAAAAGGTCTGGCAGTGTAGCTCAGTACACATACCCTGGGTTCAGTCCCCAATACTACTAAAATGAAATAAATACAATCAAAGTATAAAATAAAAAATTTAAAAGGCTGGGGTTGTAGCTCAGTGGCAGAGTATTCACCTAACCTGCGGTCCTAGATTTAATCTCCAACACCACGAAGAGAAAAAAACGTGTCGCGTACCTCCTTTGCATCAAACACCAACTCTAGGCAGTGTGAATACAGCCCTGAACAAGGGAAGTAACGCAGATCTGAACTGACTGCTTGGTTCAAATCCCAACTCAGCCAGTTACTGGCCGTGACTTGGGAGAGCCCCTCTTTGAGTCCTCAGGCCTCTGCCTCTGCACACGGAGCGCATACCTCCTGTGCCCGTGAGGACTGCACCGCTGTCAGCAGGCGCATGTCCTGTGGCCGCATCAGGCATGGCACGTCAAACAGCAGAAGTGAGCTGCAGCACAGTGAGTGAGGAGGACACAGAACAGATGGTCGGTGCGGCAGAAGCCAGGTCACTGTAGGACCTTCAAGCCAGTCAAGAAGCCCCACTGGATTATGAGGTGAAATGAAATGAGCCAGGCACAGGAGAAACAAGCAGCACACGGCCTCACCCTGCGTGGGGCAGAAGCAGGTCTCTGGGAGCCCGCGCGGAAGACAGCGGCCACCGGCCACCAGGGGCTGGGGAGAGGGGGGACGCGGGGAAGGCTGGTCGGCGCAGGAGTGGGAGCGCGTTCTGCTCCTGCGCAGCAGTACGACCGCAGGGAGCAGGAACGTGCTGCGTGTTTCAACAGTTTTCACATAGAGATGATAAATATTTGGGAGCTCAATATGCTTAACCTTATTGAAACATTGTGCAATGTATACGTATACCAAAACATTACATGACACTACATTAGTATGTATTTTTATGTTTTTGTTAGTTAAAATTTTTCAATTTAAAAAAAAGAAGCCCTCATCACACTGTAATTAATTAGTCTTTTTTTTAAAAAAAACAGGTTCTCACTTCATCACTAAGTAATCTAGGCTGGGCTTTAATTTGTGATCTTCCTGCCTCAGCTTCCCAGAGAGCTGGGACTACAGATGTGCACTACCACACTATGTTGTAATTATTGTTTACCTATCTGTAGTACCTGGAACAGAGCAGGCCACGCAAGTATCTGTTAAACCAATAGGTGTTCTTTGTAGTCCAAAAGACATACAACCATTTTAGAATCTTCATTAATTACGTATTTTATATATAGACCTCCCCTTTTATAGGTTAATATAAAATAATAATAGGACTATAATTTATAACAGAATTGCATAACAGGTACGATAATATGGCCAAGGGGTTAAGAAGTCAATGCTGAAGTGACTTGGTGGCTGATTATCTATTTTGTGTATCAGTCACATCTCCTGCAAAACTGACTACACTAGCCGGGAGTGGTGGTGCACGCCTGTAATCCCAGCACTTGGGAGGCTGAGGCAGGAGGATCGTTGCTAGTTTGAGGCCAGCCTGCGCTACAAAGTGAGCTCAAAGCCAGCCTGAAATGCATAGCGAGACGTTGTCTCAAAAAGACTTGACTGTAGATGCTCCTTGACTTATAGTGGGTTATGTCCTAATCAACCCACCCTAAATTGAAAGTATCATAGGCTGAAATGTATTTAATACCCCGAAGCTACTGAACAGCACAGCTTAGCAGCAAGGTCCTGCGATCATCAGGTGTTCGGGCCTTCGCCACCTCGTGCTCAGTGTCGCTGTGCACAGTGTCAGCGTCACCCCTCTCACTTGCAGCCTGGGAAAGATCTCAGTCTGAGGCACTTTCTACCAGGTGCACATTACTCTTTGCACCATCTTAAAATCAATAGTAAATCAAAGATCATCTGTGGCTTGATACTCTTTTTTTCTTTTTGGTGGTGCTGGTGCTGGTGCTGGTGCTGCTGGAGATCGAACCAGGGCCTTGTGCATGCAAGGCAAGAGCTCTACCACTGAGCCACATCCCCAGCCTTGTAGCTTGATACTCTTAATAAGCATTTTTCTTCGTTTAAAATAGCTTTTCTTTCCATTCCTATTTTGGTTGAATTATTATTAATTGTCCTGATAAGTGAGGCTTCTTGGAGGGAAGAAACTACCTAAAACATATTCTCAAGTCTTAAGTCCTTAGGCTTAGTAACTTAATAGCTGCTATTTTGCATTCTGGAGAGGAGGTATGAAAGTATGATTATTATTATTCATAATAAAATCAAAAGTCAACGTGGCACATGCTTGTTGTCCCAACTGCTCAGGAGGCTGAGGCAGAAGGATCCCTTGAGCCTAGAATTTTGAGGCTAGCCTGGGCAACATGGTAAGACCATGTCTCAAAAAATCATATATGGACAGAGACAGACAGATAGGCATAGACAAAGAAACCTTAAACATGCTGTACTTTCTTGACTCACACATGGGTAATTTAGAAGTGACTTTGTATATATAAAACATTTTACTAAGCAGGGCGTGGTGGCTCACGCCTGTAATCCCAGCACTCGGGAGGCTGAGGCAGGAGGATAGCTGTGAGTTTGAGGCCAACCTGGGCTACAAAGTGAGCTCCAGGCCAGCCTGAAGTACATGGTGAGACCTTGTCTCAAAAACAAAAACAGAAAACAAAAAAAACTTACTTTAGATTTGTCAGATATTTTGTCTGCTACTTCAGTGTAGAGCTCGTTGTCACTGACAGTTATCAAAAGTGGTCTAATACACGTATCACGCCTTTATTCCTCTCTCCTCATGGGAAGGAGGTAAAAGACAACCATGGTTGGATCGGAGCTACTCAGTAGGGTAATTTCACGTGGTGTACGACTCTCTCCCAGCATTGCTGTGAGGTGAGCGTTGTGCCACTCAGCTGAGGCCGGGGTGTAAACTTCAGACAGGAAGCGGGAGGCAGCGTTGAGAAGGTCTGCGGACGTCGGCTCGTGACACGTGCGTGACACTGGGATGCAGCGCTCCGCAGGTTTCACAGGCTACACTGTCCAGTGCTCGCACCCTGATGCTCCTGGCTGAGTTTTCATTTCAGAGTGAAATGGCAACTAGGGTTTGACATTGACTGGTGCAGACAGAGGGCCTCATGAGCAGCACAGCGGTTCTGCCTGCACCTATGGACAGGGACGTGAACGGCACTCACAGAACGCTCTTCCAGGGTCCCGAAGCACGCTTCTTCATTCTCCTCTTTTTCCCTGTAGGGCATCCAGTTCTACACACAGCTAAAGACCATCACTTCTCAGTGGAAAGAAGAGGATGCTACTCTCTCCTCACCTGCTGTAGTCATGCCCACCATGGGCCGCTAGGACGTTTCCCCAAACCTAGTCCCTCCTCCACAGCTTCCCTCAGTCTTGACCAACTTCATCCACCAGCTTCGTTCAAGTCAGATCTCAGATTGGAATATGTTCCACTGAACTCTTTCTCAGGACTTGGCCTCTTCAAAACTGCTCTAGGGAGACACCTGGTATAACACTGACATCAGATTGTCACGAGCTTCTCACACTTGTGTTTCTGAGGTAACTGGCCTAACTGTGGAATGCGCATCTAGACTGACAGCCTGAATTGTTTTCTAAAAATTCTCCCTTGTCTGACAACATGAAGGCAGAAAGGCCAGTGAATTTACGGAAGGTCTCATAATTAGAAGAAGAACCAGGGTGGGGAAATAGCATGGAAGTACAGTTCACCTCTGGCTGAGCCTCAAACACCGCGCGAGCAGTGCCAGCGAGAGAGGCCCTTCGGCCACGTTCCCCAGCACCCCCGCACCCCACAGCAGATCCCCTTGCCCGTCCCCGTGCTGTGCCAGCTGCCTCTTTCCTTTCTGCTCAGTGCCACTTCGTTGTCCTTGTGATTCACCATCACTGTTCAGTGCTGTCCTTGTCCCTACTCCTGATTCTTACAGTCACTTCTTCAGAATACCTCAGTATTCAATGAATAAATCAACTTTTTATCGTGTGTGCCCACTGTTAAATTTCAGGGGTGGGTTCAATCATTAATCAGTGCCTCAGCCACTGATCCAGATGCAAGTAGTTTTCATAGTTACTTCAAAACTTATTTTTTACCTAAAGCACATCTAACCTGCTATTATTTGCAAAATTCTACATATTATTTTCTCTTGCCTGCATTTCTCATTAGGGATACTTTTTTTCTTTTCATTAGTGTTGCTTATTGGGACGTAAGAAATTTCAGAGCTTTTCATTATAGTTAAGAAGTGTTTTAAGAGTCTTCTCTTAATTCAAGTGCCCTTATGGTTTTTATTTCTTTGACATGGCCAAACTGAAAGTCAGAACAAGAACGGACATGCTGAACAGAACGGATTCTGCCTTTTTGCTCCTCCGTCCCAACTCAGTCCCAGCTTTCTGCATTAGGCGGCTGGAGGCTCTGGTAATCTCTACTCCTTAGCCACCGGTATTGGTCACTTGTCGTTGGGCAGCGCTGCCCTTCTCCGTGGGGACCATTCAGTGAGCTAAGGGTGGTGAAAAACCTTGCGAAGTTGCACTCAACTGTGTAACCATCACCTGTCGGATAGTGTCAGGACAATCTAGTAAGGTGACGAAAACTTATCAATATACTTACGCCTACGCAGTCTGGGGTTTGGTTTTGTTTGGTTTTAGCTTTGGTTTTTTTGCTTCCTAATGGTGAGGGAATACAAATTACAGTTTGAAAATACAGTACCCCGTTTTATCTGTTATAAACACAGCCAGTGTTTAACAAGTTTAGGCTGGGCTGAATACAAAGTTACTACTGTCGAACTTCTAGATGGAAATCAGTATCATTACAATGACACTTATCATTTTCTAAAGATATTGACCAATCAGAATTGTGTTAGTATAACTGGAATCGGCTCATTTGGCTAGCCACTTGCTACTCAGAAGAGTTTGTTTCTTCTTAGAAAAAAAATCGTACAGGTACATTCATAGTAGTACCACCTAAAAATTCAGCATTTTATTTTCTTTTTTGATCTGACATGGCCTCATTTGAACTTTCTCATATTCTACATTGTTCTAATTAATAATGAGTAACAAATTACAAATAAAAAGTACTTAAAGGGAAAAAAACCTGGCTTTTTGGTTTTTACTGGTACCGTACTTCTTTAATGCCTTTTGTCTCCTAGGCTGTAGTGAATCATATTTCCTACCTCCATCCAAAGTGAAGGGTTGCAAGGCCACTGTGTTTGTGCTTACATAAGACAATGGGACTGGGGGTATGGCTCAGTGGTACGGTGCTTGCCTGGCATGTACAAAGCCCTCAGTTTGATCCTAAGTACCAAGAAAGGAAAGCAATGCTGGGTGTAATGGCACACACCTGTAATCCCAACACTTAAGAAGGCTGAGGCAAGAGGATTGCTGCGAGTTTGAGGCCAACCTGGGCTACAAAGTGAGCCCAAGGCCAGCCTAAACTGCATAGTGAGACCCCGCCTCAAAAAGACAAAAAAAAAGAAGGGAGGGAGGAAAAAAGGAAAGAAAGAGGGAGAGAGAGAAAGAGAAAGCAAAGAGAAGAAAAGAGTACCTATTTGGGCTAGACTGCTCATCTTTCTATTTTGTTGTGTGTGTATGTGCGTGTCTCCTGCACTAACAGAGGTACGAATACACATTTGTGTCACGTGTAATATGCCTTTAGGGTGGACAGTGCTATAGCATGTGTCATGATCTCACGCTAGTCTATTGTTATTCATTCCACTGACACCTGAGACTCCTGCTGGCTAGGAAAAAACCGTAAACTAGCGAGAAGCTGCAGAGAAGGGTAACAGCTGCGTTATCTGACGAAGACTCCTTACCATGTTGGACTCCTGTGATCCCGTCAGAATGCTGGGTAGTGACTTTTCAGAGTCTGAGATTGGAACTTGCTGAGTGATGAATGTCTGATCTTGAAGCTTGCTTTCATCTGTCTGATCTTGAAGCTCAACTTCATCTGTCTGATCTCGAAGCTTACTTTCATCTGTCTGATCTTGAAGCTTACTTTCATCTGTCTGATCCTGAGGCACAACTTCATCTGTCTGATCTTGAAGCTTACTTTTATTCCTGCAATAAAGACAAAATGACAGTTTGGCACAACCGTACATGAAACTTGGCTCAGAACAGCAGACTTGCTGTACTACTCTCGCTCAGTCCTAGCACATGTACGATGCCCACAGAACCATCAGGGTCAGGCTCACACTCATGGATTCAACAAAAAAGCTCCTACCCAAATTCCTTCTTTTCCCACTGTCAGAAACAACATCATCCGCACCTAGAGGCCTACAACCCTGGCCGTATTTCCTGCTGTGGGTAAAAGTCAACCCACATAATAAGGCACTGTCTCCTTATGCCCCCATGTTTCACTATACCCTTAAAGTGCTAAGTGAAATGCTTTGGTTGGATGAATTTATTTTCAAAATAAACTTACACAATCATTGATGCAGTGTGTTAGGCAAGTTAATATACTCACTTAAAACTGAGACAAGTTGACAGGCATGAATGCCTATAATCCCAGCTACTTGGGAAGCTGAAGCAGGAGAAACACAAGTCACAAGTTCAAGATAAATCTGGGAAATTTAATGAGATCCTAGCTGGGCGTGGTGGCGCACACCTGTAATCCCAGTACTTGGGAGGCTGAGACAGGAGGATCCTTGTGTTGTGAGTTCGAGACCAACCTAGGCTACAAAGTGAGCACAAGGCCAGCCGGAACTGCATACTGAGACTGTCCCAAAAAAAAAAGCTGCAACATGTCAAACTCAAGAAATACTTATGAAGATGATGATAATAAAGGCACGCACCTACTCTGCCATAAAGGGTAAACCTGAGTCATTTTTAGGTAAACAGATGGAGACCATAATCTTAAGTGAAATAAATCAGACATACAAATATCACAAGGTTTCTCTTGTGTGAGAAAACCAAAGGATAAATAAAGAGCAAAAATGGAGGATAGGTACTAGGAAGTAGAACATGTTCAAAAGGAAAAGGAAATAAAGAGTTTTTTAAAAAGAAGGGAAAAAATGGAAACAAAGCTTCCTAAATGGGAAGGGAAGAAAGGGTGAAGGGAGGGGAGGGGAACGGGAAGAAAAGGAGAATTAAGACATACATACAGGTACAGGTTCCTCATGATGATTGTGATCATTATGTATGGCCAATATTTACTACTAATAGTAAATTTTTAAAAATAAGGTACACAACAGCCATTAGTGATGACAGGCTCCAACTAGATTATTAACCAATATACCAAGAAAAGCTCTCCTCCCACAAAAAAACAAAACAAAACAAAACCCATTGGAACATAGAAAGGTTACACAATGGAGACAGGCCCAGCCGGAAAATTTGTCTTTATAATTTAGAAAGACTAGGGTTAAGGACAGGAAATAACTGCATGACTAATTAAGTATTCTAAATATGAAGTGAAAAGTAATTTGAAATGAGCTTAATAGAGGTTAAAAAGTATAGTATACTGATCTGAGAGATAATGACACCTGTCTCACTCCTGAACTTGTCTTCAATTAGACGCCTATGACAGCAGCATAAACCCATTCAAAATCTGGACGTGTAATAGTCTGCATGACAGTGACGTAAGAAAATGTACTTTAGACACTAGCACAGCTTTACTGGTTGCTAAAGCATTGATTTATTTTAGTCACCCGCTGGTTATATCCCTGACTTAGACCAATCACAAAGATACTGGACTGTTGGGTTCACAACCACACAAAATCAACTGAACTCTGACCAACTTCCGAGAATCAGTCCATGTGCCTCAGTAGACTTCTACTCCAGTGGTACCACAGTTTACCAACTTGTCTTACATCTTCGGAAAAAGTGGCTGCATTTGTGTCTGTGTGATGCAGTTTGCAAATGGAAGTAAGATTTTGTTGACCACTTTTGTTTGTGAATCGAACTGTTTGCAAACACGGCTGTTTGTGAACTGCGGAATTACTTTTTTTTTTTTTTTTTTTTCGTTTTTCTCCGGTGCTGGGAACCGAACTCACGACCTTGCGCTTGCCAGGCAGGCGCTTTTGCTGCTGAGCTAAATCCCCAGCCTCTTGAACTGCGGAATTACTGCACCTGGCTTCTCCCGTCTGGCTTGCGCTTTCTCCCTTCATCTCAACATTTCACCATCTGTTCCTATCTCATTTTTCTTCTTTATTCAGTTTTGGCATGAGATTTCAACAGGCTTAAACACAGTGCCACTGTGAGTCAGGTTCGAGGTCACTGTGTTGTGTACACGATCTCACAGAGTTCTTTCTCCAAGTATGGAACTGGAAGCCCTGGAGCTCTGGCTGTTTTCTTGGGTCCAGGGGCATCAACTCACAGTGAGACCATCAGTACCTGCAGTGTGGAATCCACCTCCACCGCTAACACCTCTTAGGAAGGCTACCAGTGACGCCAGAGCCATCCCGAACTCCTTCACGTAACCAGTCACTCTTTAAGCTCTTCCCCTTTGCGTGTGTTCTTTCTTGCCTGCTCTCCGTCCTAGTTACTCCTAAGGCCTCCAGCCCCACCTCTCTGCTCTCCAACTTCACCCACACCAAATGCATTTTCACTGACCACAGCCGTCTCGCTCTCCTCAAGCTCCAGTCCCTATATCTGAAGGCCTTCAAGCTACTCTTCACTTCCGTATACAGCACTGCCCTCATCAACATTAACTGCAAATACTATTTCTGCTGCCCAGAACGTTCTTTTTTCCCTTTTGTTCCTGTTTACCTTTTAAAAATCAAATCAGCTGGGAATGGTGGTGCACACCTGTAATCCCAGCACTCGGGAGGCTGAGGCAGGAGGGTCATTCCAAGTTCGAGACCAGCCTGGGATACAAAGTGAGCTCAAGGCCAGCCTGAACTGCATTAGCAAGACCCTGTCTCAAAAAGACAAAAATTAAAAAAAAAAAAAAATCAAGGTTTTACTTCTTCAAAAATTCTGCTGACTCCCCAGTGAGGTCAGACTAAGCCTTTTTTTTTTACCACCGTATCTTTTGTATTTATTTCTGCAATAATTTGAATAATGTTTTCTCTCATAAAATAGTTTTATGAACCATAAACTCCCTGAGATTAGACTTGCAGTCTTCATTTTCTCAACACTGCACTTTCAATAGTAGCATTCGGTGTATATGTTAAGTGAATTAGTGGATGGACTAAATAAAACCTAAACATTTTTCTCATGCTGACTTTTCTGATCTTCCCTTATCTGTACCACCATCCTTTGTATTTCTTAAATTGAAAAACTTGACCTTTTTCTTCCCTTCATTCCTTTTGTCCTTTACCACCAAGACCTCCTCTTTCCCATGTGTTTATCAGTTTCTCCCCCCTCCCCCTTTTGTTTTCTGAGGCAGGATCTCACTATGTAGTACAGGCTGGTCTCGAACTCATGGCGATCCTCCTGCCTCAGCCTCCCGAGTGCTGGGATTATAGGCCTGCACCACCTCACCCGGCTTCCCCTTCTTTTCTGACTGCTCCCACGCTTGCCTGACACAAACCCACCACATACCCAGAGTAGTGCTGTGGCCTCTGCTGCACCCCAAGTAGCCTCTGTGTTCGGTTAATGTCAGCTTTGCAAACACTGACGTTGACCTGGGACCCCTTCCAGGAGAGAGTATGAGTGCAGTCCTCCTCATACTTCCTGAAGGTATAGAACTAGTACACACAATACTCTGAAATCCACAATGGCAGTAAATTCAGACTGAGTGATTTTTCAGGCTCAATAAAATTTAATCTTGTAAGTTAAAGCTTACTTCTAGTGACCCTGAAGCGTCACCAAATTCCCTTCAGCCAGACAGCTTTTTATCAATGCTCCCCAAACACCCCGTGCCCATCCCTAAGCCTGGGTTTGCGTGCTGCCCACTAGGCCCCTTCTCTGATGCCCCCTCTCTGCTACTGTCCCACTGTCCCACAAAGTACCCCAAGGCACCTCTTTCAGGAATGTCTTCCTACTGCTCTCTTCACTGACGTGTTGTCTGAACTACAACTGTAATTTTAAATCAGACTTTATTGGCACATTTTAGATACACATAATGATCACATTCATTATAGAGTCCAGTGTAACTTACGGTGCCACCTAGTTTTTTCCCTAGTTGTATTTGGTTTTAAGCAAACAGATCGTGAGCTCTGAGTTCAAAGACAATTTCACTTCATTCTTTTGAACCCCTGATAGTACCTAAAAGTTCAAATATAGGTACTTGGTATGTACAGTACGTGCCTGATGTCTTCTAGACAGCTCCTATTTAATACCAGGTTTACGTAGTCGCTGACAGAACAGTGCACAGTTGAGGCATACTGGTGCACAGCTGTAACCCTAGCTACTCTGGAGGCGGAGGTAGGAGGATGACAAACAAGGCCAGCCTGTCTCAAGATAAAAAGTGACTGGGCACGTAGTTCAGTAGCACACTGCTTTCACAGCATGCATAAAGTCCTGGGTTCAACCACCCCATACTGCAAAAAAGCAGGAGGGGGGCAGAAATCAATGGATCCAAGAAGAATCTTTTAATGATCTCTTCCTCTCCCTCTCTCCACTCTCTCGAGGCAAACTAAGCTAGATCCCCAGCTCTTTTTATTTTTACATAGGGTCTCACTAAATGGTAAGTTACCCAGGCAACTTGCAATTCCCCTGCCTCAGCCTTCCAAAGAGCTGGGATTACAGGCATGCCCCACCACACCTGGTTCTATGACTTTTTCTTGTATTAGAGAATCCCTTGATTAATACACAGCTTAAAAAATCATTTACTTATCTTTGCAAATCAACAAAACTTTAACAGTTGTTGTTTCTCTGTGGCTACGGCACATTTAGCTTAGAAAGGTTCTAACTTCTTAGTAAGCATCACTTTAAACATGTAAGATTGTTTTTCAGCCAAGCATGGTGGTGCACACCTATAATCCCAGCACTAGGGAGGCTGAGGTGGAAGGGTCACTTTGAGTTCGAGGCCAGCCTAGGCTATGCAGTGAGTTCAAGGCCAGCTTGAACTATACAGGGAGACCCTGTCTCAAAAAAAAAAAAAACCCTTTGGGGGCTGGGGATTTAGCTCAGCGGCAAAAGCGCCTGCCTGGCATATGCAAGGTCGTGAGTTTGGTTCCCGGTACCGGAGAAAAACAAAAAAAAAGGAAAAGCAAAACACAATCCAATTTTTTTTTTTTTTTTTTTTTTCTCCTCTTCAATTCCAAATCATCTTTTGTTTTCATGTTCATTCATTCAACTCCCATTCTTTATCTCTGGGAGTTGCAATAGCTACACAGTGGAACCCTTTTGTATTTTCTGGTCCTTAAATATATTTTCTTTAATTCAGAATAAAGGGCCAGGGACGTAGCTCAGTGGCACAGCGCCTACCTGGCAGGCACAAGGTTCTGAGTTCAATTCCCGGTACAAAAAAAAAAAAGAGTTCACTGTTTAAGTTCAAGTTCACTGTTTAAGTTCATTGTTCATTTAAGCTCATTGTTTCCATGTGGTTTTTAGCTGGGACAACAACTTAGCATTTCACTGCAGAAATGGGACATTACCTAGGAACAAAACCATTCATTTTTGCAAAGAGCAATCTCAAGACTTTCTCCTTCTGCTCCCAAGTCAAATCTCCAATATCCACATTTTTTTGAGTACTTGTCCTGAAAAATTTCAAGGGGTGAAAAAGGGAAAAGGAAAAATGTGGTCAAAATAGGCTTTTCTTTTTAAAAAAATATAAAACATGTGAACACAGGAAAAATTTATACCATAACTGAGTATTACGTAATGACAACAAAGCAAACTAAGTGCGTTACAAAATCATGAAGTTAAAGCAGATACCAACATGCCAGCCCATCCAAGATGTTCTAGTCACAAAGGCGAACATGACAAAAAGTACAACATGAAAAAGTATTTGTGCTCAAACATTAAGCAAATGAGCAAAACAAGAATACTGTCAACCAGCATGTATCTAGCGATGGTCAAAGACAAAAGTCAACAAGATAGTGTTGGTGAGACTACTGATGGATGTTTTTCTTACAACATTTCTTTTTACATTAAATATTTTACTATGAAAACAGATTGACAAAAAGTAAATTTACAGAATAACATTAAATTATAGTCTATTTTCTTACCTCCGAATAAGGCTGCATTTAAGGTTTCCAGGTAAGCCTTTTTTATTCTCTCTGGTACTGAGGATTGAACCCAGGGATTTCTCACTGTGCTGCATCCAGTAGCCAGCTCCTCTGCTTTTAGTTTTTATTTTGAGTCTGGTCTTGTTAAGTCTCTCAATTGCCCAGGCTGGGCTCAAACCTGTATCCCTCCTAGCTCAGGGTCTCAGAGCGCTGGGTTACAGGCTTATGCAACCACTCCTTCCCCAAGCAAGTCTTTCTGTACTGTAACGCTCCCAGAGGATTAGTAATGTACTTGCTATTTACAAAAGCTAGTATGTATTGATATATAACATAAAAAATATGTTTGTAGATAGCTCCGTTGGGTTAGATTTATTTAAAAGTTTATGTTTTGCCTTATGGATACCATTTATTTCAATTGTCTTTCACCAATCTGCCTCTTAAGAAGATGATGTAATTTTCTTTCTTTTTCTTTCCTTTTTTTTGTCTTTTTGAGACAGGATCTCGCTATGCAGCTCAGGCTGGCCTTGAGCTCACTTTGTAGCCCAAGCTGGTCTCGAACTCGCAATGATCCTCCTGCCTCAGCCTCCTGAGTGCTGGGATTACAGGCATGCGCCACCACACCCAGCTTTTCTTTTTTTTAAATTATGGTGCTAGAGATTAAATCCACATGCTAAGCATATGCTCTACCACTAAGCCACACTCTATTAGATCCATAGAGGATCTAATATTCTAACCGCTGCTTCTGCCCTGCTTGTAGAGGCAATGGAACACTGAAGTTAAGTGCTAGGCTGCCCATTAGCAAAAATGTCACACAAAAGGCAGAACGGGAACTCTAGTTTCTATAATGATGTGGCAAATCATTTTATTTAACTTTGCTAACATTTATATGTAATACACTGTACAAAATACATGTAACACACTGGACAAAAGCTGTATAGGAAACTGCCTTATACACAGTAGGGGCTCAACTTATTAAATTAAAATGTGGAAATTAGTAGTTAGGCATGGTGACACATGCTTGTAATCCCAGCACTCAGGGAGGCTGAGGCAGGAAGCTCAGGGCAGCTGAATTCAATCCCAGTCTGTGCAACTTATCAACTTGGTCAGATGATGTCTCAAAATAAAAAAATTTTAAAACGGTCTGGGGATATAATTCCCTCAATCCCTAGAATTTAAAAAAAAAAAAAAAAAAAAAAAAAGGAAATTACAGCAAATCTCTTCTTAATACAAGTGGTATTCAGACCTCTGAACATGGCAAAAAAGTAATAAATTATACTATGGGTACTTTTGAAGAAGGAACTCTTTTACAGGCAATTAAGCATGTATAATCCTCTCAACAGCTCTAGAATTCCAAAGAACCTACAAACCATTCCCTTAAAAAGTAAGTTAGGGGCTGGGATGTAGCTCAGTGGTGGAGTGGTTCTCTAACATGCAAACAGCCATGGATTTGATCCTCAGCACCACAAGTAACTACGACAATGGGCCGGGCGTGGTGGCGCACGCCTGTAATCCCAGCACTGGAGGCAAGAGATCACTGTGAGTTGGAAGCCAGCCTGAACCACAGCGTGAGGCCTCATCTCAAATCACAAAGCCAACCAAAACCAAGCAAAAATAAATAACAAAATAAAATGTAAATTCACGGCAGTAGGAAGTCCTTTAAATTTCCTGAGCCCTTTGAAGAATCCAACTGAATTGACACTAAAGCATACTTTTTTTCTCAAAATCTTCAAAATGCACTATAAGCTTTGATAAAAGACAACCCTAACAGGAAACAACTGTCTCTAGTCTGCGACTGCCTCAAACACTCCAGTGCCTTCCTCACAATGGCAGTGTTCTGCATAATGCAGTGATGGAGAATCACTAGTGAGTACTCTCCAGTCCACAGAACATTTCTGTACAACCAAGGATCATTACAGAGAATTATTATACTGATTTTTAAAAACTTACATGGTAAGTTAATATTTTATTACCAGCCAGGCGTGGTGGTGCATGCCTGTGATCCCAGCATTTGGGAGGCTGAGGCAGGAGGATCCTTGCAAGTTTGAGACCAGCCTGGGCTACAAAGTGAGTTCAAGGCCAGCCTGAACTGCATAGCGAGACCCTGTCTCAAAAAGACAAAAAATAAAAATAAAAAAAATTTATTACCTATGCTTATCAAAAATATTTAACCTGATCCCAGCATTCTGGAAGGCCGAGGCAAGAGAATCACAAGTTCAAGCTCAGCATGGGCAACTTAGCAAGACCTGTCTCAAAATAGAAATATTGTAAGAGGGACTGGTGATGTAGCTCAGAATGAAGGTGCTGGGTTCAATTCCTAGCACCACCAAAAACAAACAAAATCACAAAAGTATTTATATGTTAGTAAACTTTTAAGCTCACAAAGGTGTGAACAAATTTTTCAAAATCCTAACTTTTGCTTTAAAGTTTGAGTTTTATCACTAGCAACAAACATTATCAATTATTTTCCCTAAAGTAACAGGTTCACTTTGATATTATATAGTGAGTCTGTATCCTGACACCTTGCTAAATTTGATTATTACTTTTGGTAAGTTTTTTAGAAATCTCTCCAGATTTTTTTATGCATATGATAATATCTTTTGTATAACAAAGACATTTTTATTTATTTATTTCCCATCTTTAACAAAGTTAGTTTAACCTAAATCTTATCAAGCCTTTATAATCAATTTCCAACTTATATGAAATAAGATAAAGGAGCCAGGCATGGTGGCACACACTTGTAATCCCAGCATACAAGAGGCTGAGGCAGGAGGATCACTGGAGTTTGAGGCCAGTCTGAAGTGCACAGTGAAACCCTGTCTCTAAAGAAATAAATAAGTAAGTAAGATAGATAGATAAAGGAACAAGTCCAAACATACTACAGTGACATTTTATGGGACAAATCATCTAGTTTCTAACAAGTTTCTGTCACAAGAAGAAAGGGGACATCTACTAAGAATACAGACTAAACCATGCACAGGCTACTAAATGCAAAGGTTACAAAGATGCACAATCAGTTCCCATCCTCAAGCAACTCACTGAGAAATCTGTCCAACAACATTTGAATACTAACAAACCAAACTCTCTGAGTTCCTATTTCTTCAAGGGGCACAAAAATAGCACAAAAGGCAATATATTAAAGTATTAGCAGTACCATTTTTCAGCCTCCATAAGATCCTGATTCACACTGTTGGTGCTGTGTTCTCTGCCATCAAAGGTCCTGATCTGCGGATACTGTGTTTTTCCCGCACACGCCGTTCTCATTTTTAAGTTGAAAGCAGCTTGTGCTATCTGCTTATAATGCTTCCTGCTGACCAGGATCTGCTGCTTCACTTCATGCAGAGCATCTAGAAAGAAACTTTCCACTTCAGTTCTCTCGTCCAGTATGTTCTTGGCCAGCTTCTTCACTCGGTTCATTTCCCTGTCCTTCATCTGAAGCAGCTGCTGCAGCTTGTCAATTTCTACTTGACCTGCCTGGTTCTCTATCACTGCCTGTTGCTTCACTTTCAAAACTTCAGTCTCAAACTCTCTGGCCATAAAACTCAGAGCATTCTCCAAGTCTATCACCTTCTTCCGAAGGATGTGGATTTGTGTTCTTTGCTGGGTAAGTTGCATAATTTTCTCCTTAATCAGTAGTTCATTGGTCTCCTAAAAACAGATGAGAGAGATAAATGCTGTTTTTTCTTCAATCATTCTAGAACCTACAATCTCCTCCATAATTTCTATTACTTCATGAGATTTAAGTTTGATGCCAGAATGAGGTGACCCTTTTGGTATTTCTACGTATAAAAGGCGGACTTGTGAGGCAATCTGCTGACTTTGCTAATTATGAAACTTTCAACCTCCTCTAAAATTCTGAGTTTAAATATTTTACATTATCAAAACTCATAAAACTAGACAGTAAAATACTAACAGCTAAAAAGAGAAACTACGGTAGTCTCCTATTTGCCTTTCTCAGTATCCATTTTCCTTTTCCCTTTACATAGTAATAAAACCTCAACTTTACTGGGCAGTGAGCTAAAAAGTTCCCAGCCTCTCTTAAAAGTTCAGCATAGTCAAGGGCTAGTCAATACACGGTAACTGGAAAAGTGTGTGGGACTTCCAGGAATACTTCAAGGCAAGGTTCACCTTCTTTCTTCTTGTCTTTCCTTCCTGTTGGAGGTAATGAATAGAGCGTAGTAGCCCCGCCGGCCGTGAGGCAACGCAGATGAAATAAACCCTGAACTATACAGCAGAGTAAAGGAAGCTAAGTGTCTTTTGACTTTGTAGCACTATAATTCTTGCTGTGGGCTCTTTATCTCCAGTTTCCACTAGGAAAAGGAATAAACCCTTCTGTGGTGACATGATTAATGTTAGGTCTGTCACCCTCAGTCAGACCTGTCCCTAACTGATTCAGGGACCAACTATAAGCAAAGTGAAATGCATATTCTAAGGCAGTAGAGGATAAGAATCATATCTGTATTTGTAATATATTCTCTTTTTTGGCTTTTTTTGAGACAGAGTCTTGCTATTACCTTGAAATCACAATGTAGCCCAGGCTGGCCTCAAATTCCTAGTGATCCTCCTGCCTCAGCCTCCCAAGTACTGAGATTACAGGTATGTGCCACCATTCCTGGCCTTCTTATATATTCTTTGTAAGGTCAATTCTAAGCTTCTTACAAGACATTCAGTATTAATCTTTTCAGATAAGGAAAGTGCACCGTTCAGACAGAAGGAAAACGGTCCTGTTCTCCTTATGTATCATCATTGTACTCAGTTATTAGTTCTCACCACCCTAACCCTTAAAAGACAGATAAGAAACAGTCTAACTGAGAGCGGAACCTTTTGATGTAACAGACTGGCATGACTATCTTTCAAATTCTGGGAGGTTTTTTGTAGAGCATCAGCTTCCTTCAGGTGGTATGCCAGAGCTTTCTGGAGATAAACATTCTCTTTAAAAACATTTCTTCCAACAGCATTCAATTGCCTGAAACAGACAGAAAATGCTAAAATATAGGCCTACTTTTTAGAATTATCAAATGAAAGTAACGATTGCTCGACTCCTTACCATTAATAATGAGTGGGATGTAGCTCGGTGGTACAGCACCTGCCTACCACACACGAGACCCTGGACTCAATCGTTAGCACGCGCACACGCACCTGCACAGCCACCACTCATGTCGCTTATGGTGGGTACTCAACAGGTAGGAGGGGATCTTGTGACTAAGTTCTCACCCCACAGGAAAGTGAAAAATAATGTACTACTGCCAGATACAAGTTTCACATGCCTTCTCCTGTCCACACAACTGAACCTGAAAATATCCTAGGAATCCAAAACGGAGGAGGTACAAGATGGAAGCAGCTCAGCTTCCCAAATCAGCATCAGAGAAGAGCTCCCAGGCCACAGTGGATTTTAAGATGAGCGAGCAAGAAACAAACCACTGAGGCCTGGGAGTTAATCTGTTAGTATCAGGCACCTAGCATTACTTCTGCAAACATACCTCCTGATAATCCTGCCAGCTTGCTAATATTAGCCCCATTTTTAGAAGAAGGAATTTACTAGGTGTGATCAAAAGATACAGTGAATGTTTTCACGATGGTAAAAGACACACTGGCATTAATCCCCCTTAAAATGCTCCCTCTTGCTCCGAATACACGTAGCCCATCATTCTTGATACTTTGTGAAGCAGTCTGACATCCTCTTTTCAGTTGTTTTTTGTTTTTTTAAAAAGCAGTGGCAAAGTTTATTCAAGAAAGCAAAAGCCAAGAGTGGGAGAGAAGCTGGCTCTGCAGAGCAAGCTTGGACCAAGTAAACACAAAGGGAGGGGAGAGCAAAGACAAACGTACGCTCTATGCTGCCGGGAAGCACAGTGAGGGCTTTGTGGAAAGCTGCAATAGCCCGCATCCTCTTTTGTAAGTGCCTTTAGTTACACTGTCAATGCTGTCTTGAGGTCCTGAATCACTTTAAAACACTTATCTTGGATGGCCATTTTGACTTTGGGGAAGACCCAGAAGTCACACAGCGTTCTAGATCTGGGGAATAAGGTGGATGAGGACACACGGTGATGTTTCCAAGAGCTTGCCTTCCCACTGATGGTGCTAGGCAGCAGCATTCACCATATTTTTGATCACAGCTCTTAAAGACACTCATAAAAGAAGACTTCTGAAACTGTTTCAGGGGCTAGGGATACAGCCTGGCAAGTGCAAGATCCTGGGTTCGATTCCCAGTACCAAAGGAAAGAAAAAGTGCTTCAGAAAATGGCAAGAATGGTAAGTGTGATAGGTGTGTTTGTTTGAAGCAAGGGGGATAATTTTGAGGAGGATTAGTGGCAATGTATCTTTTATTGTTATAATTTTTTAAAATGTAAAAGTTCCATATTTTTTTTTGTTCCATATATTTTGATCACACTTTGTTTCTTTGTTTTTGTTTTTTTGGGGGGGATCAGAAATCAAACTCAGGACCTTGTATTTGCCAGGCAGGTGCTTGTGCCACGGAGCTATATTCCCAGCCCAGATCATACTTTGTAATTTCAAGCAAGTTAAGAAATGTTACAAAGTTCAGTTAGTATACTCGCTGAGACCCAGGGTCCTACTTCCAAGTCAGGGTTCTTTTCAGCATAGCTGCTACAGAGAAGTCACAGAAAGGGGGCAGGGAACCAGTGAGGGAGAACAGAAGAGCACACTGAAAGAAAGCAAGCCAGGAGACAAGGGGGAAGACGAAAGCTAAGAAGAAAACACAGCCACAGAAAGAAGGCAGGCTACCAAGAGAAGGAGGCAGCAGGCTTACACCACAGCTTCATGGTGCGCTTTCTCTGCCAGCATTATTATCTTCTTCTCTGCCTCTTGTTCCAGCCGGTGCTAAAAAAAAAAAAAGGCTGTTTAAACACAGGGCTATGCTTACAAATTTTACCCAACAGAGAGCAATTGTTTCAGGACTGGAGATGCAGCTCAGTGATAGAAAGTTTTTCTCACAATGCATGACACTGAGTTTAATCCCCAGCACCACCAAAAAAAAGTAATTATTTCAGAATGTCAAATAAAACATGCCTGTTCACCAGGCCGGATGTGAAGAATTGTAAGCGCTGGCCACACAGCCAGCAAGGAAGAGCGTGTAAATACAAGAACCTCAGGGTACCTCCTGCTTTCTCTATTAATCAAACAACACAACACACACATGGGTTGGAAGTGGATGTCCACACCCGTGTCAGAAACAAGAGAAGGGAGAAGTCCTGCTAAGGCAACGTGATGAATCACTCATTTACCCACTGAACACTATTACTGCGAGTCTGTGGTACACAGGTCCTTGATCTCATAAAGTTCATATTCTCGAGCAAGATCCAATGATAATTACAGCATACTGAGCATTTACAATGTGCCAGCTGCAGGTCTGAAAGCTCAGTATGTGTGATCTACTTCTCACAACAGCCCTATGAACCGGGCACTGTTACTATCCCCCAAAGCAAGGACCGAGGAAAAGAGATGCGAGTGGCCGGGCCAAGTCACAGAGATAGTAGGTGGCAGCTAACACACAGGCAACCTCCCTAACAAGGACACACATGAGTAACAGCATTAACAGGCTGTGTAAGTGCTATGAATGAAATAAATGAGGTAACGAGACGGGTGCTAACTGGGGGACATTTGGGGCTGGAGTTTAGGAAATCGCTCTCAGAAAATGGCATCTGAGCTTTGAAGAATGAGGAGTCAGAGTGGAAGGAAGACACTCCAGGAAGGGACACTGGCAGGCATAAAAACAGGAAGGTAGGACACAGCACTCTGGTTCAAGGGACAGACAGGAATACACAGGAAAACAAAAGCGAACGGCTAGGACCTGGGGAAATGCTTTGTGACCAAGTGGAGCACACCGAGGCAGGAGGTGAACGAGCAGACCTGCTGCAAAGCCTCCTGCCTGAAGCAGCAGGCCCAGGCCCGACCCAGCAAAGGAGAAACACCCGTGTTGGTAGGTCTCTACCAACTCGGCAAGGCGGACGTGCCGCGGACAGACAGCCAACACTTAACTTCCATCCCACTTTTTCCTCTCCAGCTCCAACTAGCGGCTAAAAAAACAAAGCCCTCACTTTCCCAACACCCTTATACAGTTTTGGCCAGTGAGATGTAAGAACAAATCTGAGGGGCTGGGGATGTAGCTCAGGGGCACAAGCACCTGCCCGGCGAAGCACAAGGTCCTGAGTTTGATCCCCGGTACTGCAAAAAAAAAAAAAGAAAGAAAGAAAGAACAAATCTGAGAGCTTCTAGGAAAGCTTTTATGTCTTCCAGATAAAAAAGGGACAGATATATCTGAAGATTCCCCTTTCTTGCCTCAAACACAAACAAAATTTGGAACACTCCGAACTTCCTACTGAGCTGTATCCCCAGTCCTTTTTACTTTTTATTTTGAGACAGTCTTGCTAAGTTACCAAGACTAGACTCAAACTTGTGATCCTCCTGCCTCAATCTCCTAGAGTCCTGGGACTACAGGTGTGCACCACCATACCTGGCTAACATGTATAATTTTTGTATTTTTATATATCAAAAATAAATTTAAAAAATAATCTCTGAATGGAAAGGGGGAAAAGACTAAACACTGAGGTTTTGTTTTTGGGGGGTTTTTTGGTGTTTTCAGACAGGGTCTTGCTATATAGTTCAGGCTGGCCTTGAACTCACTATGTAAGCCCAGGATGGCCTCAAATTGTGGCAATCTTCCTGCCTCAGCCTCCTGAGTGCTGAGATTACAGACATGTGCCAGCATACCATCTAGACACTGAGATTTCTAGAAAAAAAGCTTTGTTTTCCAAGTTTTATTCCATTATTATTCAATAAAAATCTAATGGAAAGTCGCTATGTCTCAGAATACATATAAGTATTAATACTGTTCTAATAACTAACACAGTTCCTTATTAACACTAAATTCTGTACCTTTTCTTCAAAAAATCGGCCTTCCATTCTTCTAAGAGTCTCCTGATGTTTCTTCTCTGTCACCCTTAAATTTTCTTTCAGCTAAAATTAAAAAAGGAACAAAATGGTCAATGGGAAATAGGGCTTACTGGAGCACATTCCTAGAAAATACTCAATGACTGTTTTCTGTTATACATTACTTTCCAGTCCGAAATACACATAAGAATTCAGAGTCCTCACCTCTAAGCACCCTAGTTGCCTGAGTCTTCGATAGGTTTACAAGATCAGTATTGAGCTTTAAATACTTTCATAATTAACAGTTCTCAGGGCATTCAAATAAATTTTTCTCATAATCATATTTTCTTTTTTTTTTGAGACAGGGTCTCACTATGCAGCTCACGCTGGCCTTGAGCTCACTTTGTAGCCCAGGCTGGCTTCGAACTCGCAGCGCTTCTCCTGCCTCAGCCTCCCGATTGCTGGGATTACAGGCATGCGCCACCACGCCCGGCTTCTCATAATCATATTTTCAAAGTACCTTCATTTCAAATGTGGAACAACAGAGTCATAAAATTGAGAACTGGAAGGCACATTATAGTCAAACTATACAATTATCCCACTTAATATAAAAATCCCTATGAGAAAAATGTGCTGATATAAATATCATTAATTCACATCTCAGTACACCATGCTGCTCATTAATAGTTCTCATTTTCAATGCAATGTTCCTGCCTCAGCCTCCCAAGTAGCTGAGATTACACATGGGAGCCACTATGCCCAGCAGGATGAATCCTACTTCTGTTCTCTAAAACTATATAGACTAAAAAACATATAAAACTTTTAGGCAAAAAAAATCTAATCTAAAGCAATGATCTGTAATCTACTAGCAAGAATGAATTATGACTGAAATAGGCATTTAATCTCTTGGGCCACAAAAAAAAGGGCAGTAGAGTAGGGCCTTCCATTAGACAAGGTGCTGTCTCTCACTAACAATTTGACTGGGCAAATCATTTAACTTTTCTAAGTCTCAGGCTACCAGGTTAAAAAAAGGGGATAGCAGTAGTGCCTATCTAATAGGGGTGCAGCAAGGATCAACAATGTGTGTAAAGTGCTTAGCATAGTACCCACTTAATACAAAGGTTAGTTCATATCATTTCTAATCGTGTCCTTCCTCATACCTAACTGTATTAAATCTCCATCCATTTTATTTATTTATTTATTTTTGCAAGTACTGGGGGTTAAATCCAGGACCTCTGCACTAAACTATATCCCTAGCCATTTTGTGTGTTTTTGTTTTTGTTTTTTGTTTTTTGAGACAGGGTATCACTAAGTTGTTAAATTGCTAAGGCTGGGTTTGAACTTCAGATTTTCCTGCTTTCGTTTCCCAGAGTGCTGCAATTACAGGCCCTGCACCACCATGTCCAGTTTATACTTCCATTTTATAGGATCTCTTTCAGATATTCTTTCTTCCTAATTTTACACGATTATTTGTAATGGCTTCTTACACCATTACATACTTCCAAAATTAAAGTCAATATATGAATTTAAGGAAACGTTTTCCACAGTTGTGAGGAAATAAATGGCCTTTTCATATGCCACTAGACTCCTCCTAAAGTCTAAATTAATCTTTCAAGATAACTAAGCAATGCATAGCACCCTTAAATCTCATTAGCTGGGCGTGGTGGAGCAATCCTATGATACTAGCACTTGGGAGGCTGAGGCAGGAGGATTGCTGTGTGAGACCAGCCTGGGCTATTTAAGTGTGTTCAAGGCCAAACTACACTACATAATGAGACCCTGCCTCTTAAAAAAAACCTCATGGCCCAGGCGTGGTGGTGCATGCCCATAATCCCAGTATTCGGGAGGCTGAGGCAGGAGGATCACCAAAAGTTTGAGGCCAGCCTAGGCTACCTACTGAACTCAAGGCCAGCCTAAGACTGGCCTTGACACAGCAAGACTGTCTCAAAAGAATTTTTTCCCTACATAAAACTGCATGGAATTCCATTTGATGGATATACCATTATTCTTTGCTGTCCACATTTGGATTTTTTCACTATTATAAAGTGTTAGGAACATCTACGCAATGCAGTCTTCTATCTTTAATGTTCAGAATAATGTCTTAAAAGTGAGATATACAGCTTAAAGAACATGATCAGTATCTGGTGAAATGTGTTTGTAGTCTCAGCTACTAGGAGGTGGGGGCCAGAGGATCACAAGAATTGAGGATATAGTACTCTGTGCTGGTTGAGTTCCATACATTAGTGGTATCACATGGTGACCATCACATGGAGTACAAACTACTAGGTTGCTGGTCAGTAGTGGGATGGCACTGTGAAGTTACCACACCCCAGCCTGGACAGTACAGAGTTCCCATCTCCTCTTTAAAAAAGATCATGAGGTGTTTTTTGTGTGTGTGTTTCTTTTTTTGTCTTTTTGACACAGGGTCTTGCTATGCAGTTCAGGCTGGCCTTGAGCTCACTTTGTAGCCCAGGCTGGTCTGGAACTCACAGCGATCCTCCTGCCTCAGCCTCTGGACTGCTGGGGTTACAGGCATGTGTCACCACGTCCTGCTATTTAGTGTTATTAAAATATTTAAATATGATGAAAAGTCAGCCTACAATTTGCATGTCATGATTCATCTTTTATAAAAATAGCATATCAAATTTTTAAAAAGAGTATTTTTGTACTAGGACTCGAACTCAGGACTTCACACTTGCCAGGCAGGCACTGTGCCGCTGAGCTATAGCCTCAGCCCTAAAATATATTTCTACAGCCTAGGTGTGGCACATGCCTGTAATCCTTGAACTCAGGAGGCTGAGGCAAAAGATCGCTGTGAGTTCAAGGCTAACCTGAACCACACAGTGAATCCCTGTCTCAAAAAGACTAAAAAAAGACGAAAAAAAAAAAAAAATATATATATATATATATACACACACACACATACATATATACGTTTTTTTCTACTTAGAAGGAAAAAGGACTATGCACCAAAATATTAACAATGGTCATCTCTAAGTAGTGTAACTAGTGCAGGCAGAGTTACTTTTAATTTATCTGCTAGGCTAAATTTGCTAAAATGAACATTATTACTGTCAAAAGACGACTAAAACGATTGAAAAATAATAACTGCAACCTACCAAAATGTTTCCTCAGTTATTCAAGTGTAAAGAAGCTGGGCATGACGGCACCCGCCTGTAATCCCATCACTCAGGAGGCTGAGGCAGAAGGATCACCTCGAGTTCCAAGCCAACCTGGGCTCTTAAGCCAACCCTTACCAAGACTGTCTCAAAAAAAACCCACACAATCCCCCACCTTTCTCCAAAAAAACAAAAACAAGTAGAAACTTTTGTTTCAAGATGTATGCTTTGAATACTTTTTGAATCTTTTTTTCAAGTTGTACAACGAATTCTGCACTGTGCATATACACAACAAAACTTTCTGCCTTAACGCACATCTTCCAAGTTGAAAATTCGTAGGTCCCATACCTTCCTCATTTCTTCCATATTTGAGATTTACAGAATCATCTTACTTTTCCCAGAAGCGAGTAACTTTTGCACTTGTAAATCAGGTCCTCTTTGAAGAGTATCAAATCTATTTCTCCACTAGGTGGCAACACTGTTCCTTAAAAAGAAAAATCACACCCAGGCCCGGAAGAACATAAACTTTCAATTCATTTGAGTCAGAATGTGCACCTGTACGTGGGGTGGCTACTGTGAGTTGCTGAAAAGTTAAGTATATTGATTCGGTCTGTAGCACCTTCACATAAATAGTTGGTATTCCTTCCAGAAGACATCATACTCCTTCAATCGTGGCTGTTTTTAAGACTACCAAAAGAAAAACGAAATATTTATGAGATCTCACAATTATGGAAAACCTAAGTAGCGGGAATTAGTCCCTATCAGGGTGTTCTGGGATATCAGAAGCGCCACCCTCGGAAGTGGCTCGATGCTTCTCCAGCTTGGCGATCAATTCTTTGGCAGGATTGAAGACACCGTTGGTCTGCTGGTCACAGACATAGCAGCGCGAGGTGGCGCGGAAATGCTGCAGCGCACAGCTCTCGCAGAAATAATGCTTGCACTTGGTGACCACTGGGTTCTGAAAGGTCTGGCGGCAGATGAAGCACCTGAACGGTATCTCCTCAGCATCGCTTCCCACCTCATAGTTTTCGTCCTCGCAGACACCATAGCGGCCCTCGTCAAGCTCACGCTCGATCTGCCACCCGTGCTTGTAATCCGAACGGTCGTGGAGGAATTTGCAGCTGTCCCCGAAGCCGCAGAAGCCGGTCTCCTTGTAGTCCTTGCAGATGTCGGGCTGGTAATCCCAGCGCACGGTGGCCCGCAGGTGCTCGGGCGCTCGGATGGGGCCCTTCCTCGCCATCCCCGAGGCGGCGCTGCCCAGAGACGTGTCCTTGGGCGCCAGGTACCTCTGGTAACTACTGATTCCCCGGTAGACCCTGTCATCCTCCTTGCCCCTCAGCTCTTCCTGGACCTTGCGGCTGCGCTCCAAGATGGCCTGGGCGTCTCGCTCCTTCTCCGTGTCCAGCTCGTAGACCGCCGTCGCCCCCATGTCCTCCGGCCCCACAGGCTTCGCCGAGCGCGTGGACTTGTACACCACGCCCAGACGCTCGCTCTCCTCCTCCTCCTCGCCGCTCGGACAACCGCGGGCCGCGCTCCGCCCGCCGCTGCCGCGGGTCCGCTGGACCATCGGATTGCCGGTCGCTCGTTTCCTCTCGGGCCGAACCACAGTGCTGCCCTCGTCACCGCTGCTGCTGCCGTCCCCGGGCTCAGGGTCGCACGCCGCGCGCTTTCGGTTGCCTGCCGCCCCTTTCCGCTTGCGCTTTTTGAAGAGGAAGGCGCACACCGGCTCCGCCGACTTCGCGGGAGACTGTTGCTCCGCCATGTTGGCGTCCCAAGCGCCTGAACGGCAGCGGTGGCGACGCTGGGCGGCGCGCAGCCTTACGTCACAGCACTCGCGCGACGGCTTACGTCACTGCACTCGCAAGACGCCAGAGGCCGACGCCCACCAGAGCTCCAGTGCGCAGGCGCCAGCCTCCCCTTCAGGGCTTTATGGGAAAAACGATTTATAAAGGTTTGCTGTGTAGCTTGTATTTTGTTACTACAAAAACAACACTGTTCGTGCCTCAAAGAATTTAGTCTTTTAGAGGAAAAGACAACTATGTAGTATGGCCTAAGTAGTATGAGAAAAGATAGGAAATGCCAGAAAGGTACAGAAAATAAAGTTCTTTTCAATAGGACTCTTAAAAGAAGTTTCGCCGGGCGTAGTGGCGCACGCCTGTAATCCCAGCACTCAGGAGGCTGAGGCGGGAGGATCGTTGTGAGTTAGAGGCCAGCCTGGGCTACAAAGTGAGCTGATCTGCATAGTGAGCCTGAACTGCATAGTGAGACCCTGTCTCAGAAAGACAAAAAAAAAAAAAAAAAGTTTCATGGAAAAGATGCATTTGAGCTGAGCCTTTCAAGGACAGGAAAAAATTTAATGGACAGACAACTACCAGAAATATGTTCTAGCTGGGCCCAGCGGTGCACGCCTGTAATCGCAACACTTGAAAGGCTGACACTGGAGGATCAATGTAAGTTCCAAGCCAACCTGGGCTACAAAGTGAGTTCAAGGCCAGCCTGAACAATATAGCGAGACCCTGTCTCAATCAATCAATCAGTCAATCAATCTATCATATTTTTTTAAAGTGTCAACGAAGGGGGGACCTTAAGAAATAAGTGAATATCCAGTTTGGGAGAATTACAAAGAGCGAGCGTTCACGCAAAGTAGAGCGGGTATAGCACAAGGAGATGATACTGTCTCTAGGTAGGTTAGGGTCTTTAACACTATTGTGCCAGGACAATATTCCGTTTACAGTGGAGAAATTTTAAAGATTTTTTTGAGGAGGTGGTAATACCGGGGAATAAACCAAGGGCCTTCGCACAGAGCTACATCCCCAGCCCTTTCCATTTTTAAATCCTGAGACACGGTCTCCCTAAATTGCCCAGGCTGGGCTCTATCTTTCAGTCCTCCTGCCTCAGGATGCTGGGATTACAATACAAGTATACACTACCACACCCAGCTCCCAAAGATAATGCTTGAGGGACGTGATCCAAAACATCAGAACTGTGATATTTTAAGGTTACTCCTGCAGCTGTATATAGTTTGGACTACAGTGATATGATGGTTTTAAAATCCATTCACAAGGGCCAGGGAGATAGTTCAGCAGCACAAGCACCTGCCTGGCAAGCGCAGGTTCTTGAGTTCAATTCCCGGTACGGGAAGAAAAACAAAAATAAATAAAATACGTTCACAATCCTTTTTTTTTTTTTTTTTTTTTTTTTTGAGACAGTTTTTTTTTTGTCTTTTTGAGACAGGGTCTCGCTATGCAGTTCAGGCTAGCCTTGAGGTCACTCTGTAGCTCAGGCTGGCCTCAAAGTCACAACAATCCTCCTGCCTCAGCCTCCCAAGTGCTAGGATTACAGGAGTGTGCCATCACACCCAGCCAAAACATTCACAATCCTTTAACACTACTTTCTTCAAATGATGGAACCTAATTCCCTGCCCCTAAAATGTGGGCCACACTTAGGGCTCACCTCTAATTAATAGAATAAGGCAGAAGTGACCCTATGTGACTTGCAACGGTAGCGTATACGACTTGTCAAGGAAGGGAGGGAGGAAGAAGAGGAAGAAAAAAAGGCTTCTAGCTGGCTGGCTGGCTCTCAATTCACTCTAGGCAATCTGAGATTATCACCAATCTCATGCGGATACTCAAGCACCTTACAAGAGCCTAAGGCTTCCTAATCACCAGCAGCAACTTGACAGCTATGTAAAGTGTGTTATCTTGGAAGTGGATCCTCAGCCTCCTGTCAAAGTTTAGATCACTGGCATAATATTTATACCATGGAAATTAACAAATGTTATAAATCAGGACCTTTAAAAATTTTATTGCTACATTTTAGATTTACATGATGATCACATGCGTCACAGGGATCTGTACCTATACATGACATACCTCATTTCTTCTTTTTCCCATCCCCTCCCCTCCCTTCAACCCCCTTGCCTTCCTTATTTACAAAGGCTTTGTTTCCGTTTTCCTTCTATTCTCTTTATTTTTCTTTCCTTCTTTCCTTTCCCCTCCCCCCTCCCTATTCCCCTTCTCATGGGAACATTTTCTTCCCATTTCCCCGTATCTATTATACATTTTGGCAGGACCTTTGCTGTGAGAGCTGCACGTCACTGCTTACATCATTCTCACTCTACAATGTGCACTACTTTAAGCACTTTATATATATTATTTCATGTAATCCTACAACAATCTACAGTAAGACAGTAATTCTTATCCTCATTTTACATACCAAGAAAAGTAACTCTGCCTATACTCAAAGGTGAGTTCAGCTAACAATGTCATTTATTACCTTATCACTAATGTGATAAAGTTATGTGCTGAGCTGAAGGACTGAAAAGCAAGAGAAAGAGCACAGCAAGGTCAAAGAAACTCTCTGAAAGTACTTAGTATTCCTCACCCTGTGCACCACGGAACTGTCTAAGTTTTTCTAATATTACCATTCATCATCCTAACTATATTTTCTTTTAGAACTTTCTCAAATCTCTTAAAGAAATTTATCAAATCTCTTTTAAGAAGAAAGAAAAGAATCTAACTTACATCGTCTAATTCTTTCTCCATTTGAATTTTTTTCTTCTGGAATTGTTTTATTGTTTTCAGCTCTGTCTGAATCATGCCAATTTCTTTGGCTTTTTGATGGAACTGTGCCTCCAGCTCACCTATTTGCATAGCATACCTTTGTCCCTGTATGCAAAAAAGAAGTAAATTAGTTAGGAAACAGAAGTTCCACAGAATCGCCTTCTACTTGAAGCCCTGAGCCATTTGCATATATCTTCTTTGAAGAAATATCTTATTTTTTCCATAAAGTTTAAATTTCTGTAAAATGATACCAACTTCACTGAATTAAAAAAAAAAAAAAAACCCAAACCAGGCATGGTGGCTCACGCCTGTAATCCCAGCACTCGGGAGGCTGAGGCAGGAGGATCACTGCGAGTTTGACGCCAGCCTGGGCTACAAAGTGAGCTCAAGGCCAGCCTGGACTGCATAGCAAGATCCTGTCTCAAAAAAAAAAAAATTCCGGACAGCACTGCAGTCACAAGTTAAAGTCCTACCTGTGCAACTTACCAAGACCCTGTCTCCAAATAAAAAATAAAAGGCTTGAAGATGTTGCTCTGTGATAGGGCCCTCCTGGGTTTGATCTCCAGTATGACCCCAAAAAAATTTCTGGAAAAATTTCTTTACCAACTGGTCTTGCATAGAAAAGGAAGAAAATAAGATTAAAAAGGATGACTCAGGCAGAGCACTTGCCTCGCATTGTAAGGCTTTGTGTTCAAATCCCCTGTGCCGCCAAAAAAACAAGAAACACAGGCAGGGCGGGTTTGCGTGAGAAGACTAAACAATCTCTAACCTGCAAGGAGGATAGATGACAAGTTACCCAAGGTGAAACTAGCAAGCGAAGGGACAAAGGGGGTAAATATCCCTAGGAAACAACAGCAACAATGGTTGAAGGAGGAAAGAAGAGAGAAACAAGAGAGGAAAAGGAGAAGGAAGATGAGAAGGAGGAAGGGAAGGAAGTGGAGAGAAAAGGAGAGAGGAGGAGATGAAAAGGACAAAAAATAACAAAAAAATGAAAAAGGCTGCTAAAAGAAGTGTGAATGGCTCACAAAAACATGAAAAATACTCAACTTAGCTCATAAGCAGAAAAACGCAAAGCAAAACTACACTGAAAGGCCATTTTTCTCCTATCACAAAAAAATCAAGTTTATGGTACAGCCTATTGGTAAAGCTACAGAGAAACACACAGGCTCATGTAATGAGTGGTACTGCACAATACCTACACAAATAGATTTGAAAAAGTCCACAAAAATCACATATTTTCTTCAGCCTATCAAAACCACTTATTGGAATACATCTCAAAGACATAGTGGCCAAAAGGTGAAAAGACGTGATCACAAGATTCTTTATTAGCCAGGCATGGTGATGCACGCCTGTAATCCCAGCACTCGGGAGGCTTGGGGCAGGAGGATCGTTGAGAGTTCAAGACCAGCCTGGGCTACAAAGTGAGCTCAAGCCCAGCCTGAACTGCATAGTGAGACCTGTCTCAAAAAGACAGAAAAAAAAAAAAAAAAAAAAAAAGATTCCTTATTGGAGGCCAGATACGGTGGTGCACACCTGTAATCCCAGCACTTGGGAGGCTAAGGCAGGAGGATCACCATGAGTTTGAGGCCAGCCTGGGCTACATAAGTGAGTTCAAGGCCAGCCTGAACTGCATAGTGAGACCCTGCCTCAAAAAAAAAAGTATTCTTTATCAGAGCACTAATTATAATAACAAAAGACTGGAAACAAGACAACCACTCGTTGAAAGGACACTTCTCTGGGCTCTGTGTCCGTGCCCCCAGTCCCCAGTGGCATAGGTGTGGAGTGCGGCCTTTAGAAGGTAATCAGCTTTACATGTGGTGAAGACAGTGGAGGCTCCGTTAGGGGCTGGTATCTTTACAGGACATGAAGCCGCCTGGAAGGTTCTCTCCATGTGAGAGAATAGGAAGAAGGCAGCTGGCTGTGACCAGGAGGGCCCTCACCAAGAACCTAACATGTAGTGCCCTGACTTCAGACTTCCAGCCTTCAGAACCACAAGAACAAAATTTTTAAGCTACCCAATCCATTCTGTCCCAGAAGCCCATCTGACTAAGGCCATTTGAGTAAAATATGCTACATCCGTATGGACTACAATGCAGCCATAAAAAGGGTGCAGGAAACAAAAAAATACGAAGAAAAAGACACCTTTAAGCCAGGTGCAGTGGTGCAGCCTATAATCCCAGAAGTCTGTAATCCCAGCACTCCGGAGGCTGAGGCAGGAGGATCCTTGGGAGTTCGAGACCAGCCTGGGCTACCAAGTGAGCTCAAGGTCAGCCTGAACTGCATAGCGAGACCCTGTCTCAAAAAACAAAAAACAAAAAACAGAAAAAAAAGGATGCAGAACTATTATACACATATACATATTGCTGTGGGGTAATCTCCAAAAAATATTACCATGGAAAAAAAAAGACACAGGTCTTCGTGTTCTGTATGCTACCTTTTATCTGAGAAAGAGACACAGTATATATTTGTTTATGTTTATTACAAACATAACTAAATATATACGTTTTGTTTTGTTTTCTGAGACAGAGTCTCAATATGTAATGCAGGCTGGCCTTGAACTCACTTATGTAGCCCAAGTCTCAAACTCACAGGGATCCTCCTTCCTCAGCCTCCTGAGTGCTGGGATTACAGACTTATATCACTATGCCTAGCAGTAAGTAAAAAATATATATACATATATAAAAATATATTTATATATACT